TCTTTTCCAACCTCAATGAAACCATCACCTAATCCAAAATAACATATAACTATCAATCTCTATTCCTATTTTTGCTATTTCACGATTCTATATTTAATTTTTATACTTCATACCTATTGATATATACTTAATATATATTTTATATATAAATATCCTTTCTAATTCATGTTAATAGGGTATGGAAGACTTTTGGACTATTTAGAAAAATGTTTCTAAAATTTTGTGGTTAAATCATAATTTTTGAAACTTTTGGGGTCAAATTATAATTTTTTTGAAAAACGAATTTTCTGTTTTAGGGACTGCCATAAATTTTTCAAAATTCTATTCTTCTAAATTACCAAGTAAAACAGTGGTTAAAATTAAGTTTAGAAGAATATAGGAGGTCAAAGTAAAACTCTTTAAAATTAAAGGAAATAGTTTTGTAATTTCTGGATTGAGTCTTCTTCTACCTACGGACATCCCAGCTTGTTTGTTCTGCCCCAACAATTCCAATCCCTTTTTTTTTTTTTCAACTTATTGATTAACCAACTACAAATCTAAATTCAATCTAATAATTTCAATAATAATAAACGATTACCATGAAACTCATTATGTATGTGTGTATATATACATATTACGTATTATCATTATCATCAACCTAATCATATGATTGAATAAACTATAAAACTCATAAAATAAATAATAAACTCACCTTTAAGGGATCTAATCCATTTGTCTTCTTCCTCCTCCTTTCTTTTCTCTCTCTTTCTCTCTTTCTCTCTTTTAGTTATTTTTTTCTTCTTTGTTCACAGGATAGGCTGTTTCATAAGCCTCTCACCAATAAAAACCCTACAAAATCTAAATATATTTATATATATACATGAAGGGTTTGACCTATCCAACAATATTACCCTATTTAAACCACATGTATAATAATCATAATAGGTCTCTATAATTATTCTAAATTATCTCCACTGATTTTCAAAGCATATCCATAAGCTCATAAGCATAGACCCAAAGCAAAACAAAAGTATAAAACTTCTCAAATTCAACTTATTCACTTTTATTTTTATTATTATTACTGTTTGTTTATTTTTTTTTCTTATTTTTACCCTGGGTATTACAATTATTGAGACGGTTATCATCATGATCTAACTCTGCTACATTTCGTTGTGCCCAAGTCATTGTCAAGTATCAAACTACACTAGCAAAGTATGGTAACAGTTCAGAATTTGATCAATTAGTTAGCAAGTGTTGATGTTGAAAACTAGTGAAATGGCTATTGAGTAAGTAATATAGCTCGGCGACCTAAAAGGCTAAAAAAGAAGAAAAACAAGAAGAGGGGGAACCTCACTAAGAGTTATTAAACAATCTCTTGACATGTTTGAGAGCGTAGGGGGAGGAAGGGAAAGTTTGCAGGTGAAAAAAAGCCATATATGACCTCAAGCAACCTCTTCAGGCTTGGTTCGACTTTTGGCTTCCTAAAGCATCCATCAAATGTGCTTAACTTGACTTGACATCGAGCTAGTGAAAGAGATTGCGGGCATATCCTTAAGAAGCATAAGAGGGATTGACATTCATCTTTAGGAGAGATAAGTGTAAGTATCGTTGGCTTTGGTCTTTGTAATTAAGAACACGAGTTATAAATCTAGTGTCAATTACACATGAGATGAATCCTTCTTAATTAGCGTTGTTGAGTCTCTTTGACTCAATATTAGCTGAGCTCAACATATTTCACCCGTATCAGCTAGTATAGCTACATGGGATTAAGCCTAGTCAAGTATCCTGTCATTGTCTTATAGACCAAACGCAAGAGGCAATGTTGATTCTAGAGTGATGAATGACTCAGAACCAAAATGGGAAAAAAAAAAAAAAAAAAAAAAAAGAATAAAAAATATGCATCTATGACCCTTCATCTATAAAAAGTAATTTTAGAATACCTTGCAGGCCAAGCAAGAATCACCAAAGAGCTATTAATTGGATTCCAAACCTCCATAAGAGGATTGCTAGAAGCTTAGTTAGCATCTCAATTTCTCCTCCTTTCTGCTTCCTTACTAAGCCTCCAAGGTAAGCATATTCACATGTTCTATATACCTGTCCAACTGCTAATATCTTGTTAAGAATTCTCTCCAACCGACACATTCTTTTTAGCAAAGAACATCATAATTTTTGTCAAAAAAATACTCAAGTTAAAAACACAAGAATGATTGTATAATTTTTATTGTGACGGAAATTTTTCCATTTAGGCATCATTTTGGATTTAAAGTGGTAATACAAATTTCAGATCCATGCAAACACCCATGACACTGATGTAGAAACTCAAATAACATGTGAATTTATAAATCGCCACCTGTTTAAAGATTGAACGGTAATCATCAATATAGTTTTTTGAAGAGCAAGGAAAGACCAAATTCCCTGGATTGCTTGAGTCTTATGCAAGAAAAGAAAAGCAAAAGGGCCAAAAAGAAAAGGAGCAATAAGCTATATATGCTGTTACCTTTCTTCAGCAGAACACAGGAACCAAAATCTTATATATAAAATGACAACTGTGACTTCTTAACACAACCATTCTTCACCTTTTATTCTGTATAAAAACAACTTACACACATAGACCAAGTTTAGCACAGAAAGCCAAACCACCTATCTCCACCACCATGGCACCACCGACGCTCCCACCCCAACCACCAGCCCGGCCGCGCAAGTCAAACCTAGTCCGCTGCATTGCAATAGTCCTCCTCGCCCTGATTGTCCTTGTAGGTCTAGCCGTGATTATCATTTGGCTAGCAGTCAAGCCAAAACGGATGGTCTACTCCATAGAAGATGGCTCAATCCATGGCTACAACCTAACCAACAACCAACTCAATGCCACCTTCAAATTTGTCCTAAGAGCATACAACCCCAACACCAGAGTCTCAATCTACTACGACAAGATTGAAGTGACGGTTTCTTATGACGATACCACTCTGGCCTTCAATTCCGTCGACCCCTTCTTTCAGCACCACCGGAATGTGACCAAGAAGGGGCTGACACTGGTGGCGCAAGGGGCGGCACTTTATGGGTCTGTGGCGAGGGACCTGGGGCTTGAGAAATCGTCTGGGAAGGTTGAGTTGGAGCTGAGATTGAAGGCAAAGATAAGGTTCAAGGTGGGTGTGTGGAAGTCTAGAAAGAGGACTTTACGGCTGTTATGTGCTCCATTGATGGTGCCCCTCTCTTCACGAAAGGGTTTCACTAGAACACTCTGCGACGTTGATCTTTGAATTTGAGCTGCACTGCACACTGATGATGTGTTGGACTCTCTCTCTCTCTCTCTCTCTCTCTCTCTCTTCGTTTGTGGATTTGATTGCCATTTTTAATTTGATGAATCCCTTATTGTTTCCCCTTTTTTGTCTGTCTCATTCTATGGTGTTATGTACAATTACTGATGGAAGATCTACTTATATAGAATAAACCCTGCTTGCATTTATGTCATGGTGATCTAATGTTAACAGAAATCAACCAAAAGTAGATTGAAAGGGATTCAAGTATATGATGTACTGATTCTCAAATGGGAATTTTTGTATATTTCTTATACTTAGAGAAATTTGCCAAAATTTCACACTGAATGTTCTTGAAATAGTTTGGAGTAAATATTCGGTGTAATAGGTACAATACATCACCATTATCGCATCATGTAATCGTTCATTGATAAATAAACAAGTGGATAAGGTTACCCCACTTTTTTATATGGGGTGATTATTATCTTACATGTAGGGGTAATTATTTGAAAAATTAGAGTCCACTTTTTAAGTTATTAGGAAGTGTATAGTTATATTATATATGAACCATTTTTCAAAATTTGTTTTCTATTTTGTAGACTGATTCCCACTCGACTCCATTTAATCATAATTCGAATTGTTTGAGTCATGATTTGGTTTGATTTGATTTTTACTAATATATAGAATGATATCAAAGGTAATTTTCATTTTTCGATACTGCACAAAATCCAAAAAGAACAAAAAAAAGTGTAAAATAAACAAACAACCAGCCCAGCAAAACAACGAAAGTTTCTTTTGTATTGGAATGCATAACTATAAAACAACAAGAATGTGTTGGGACGGAAAAGCACATCCAGCTTGAGTGCCCCCAATTCTATTCTTTACCCTGCCTTTTTTCTTTGCTATAAGAGAGTAAGCAACTTCTGATAGTATTAGTGTTACATCTCGAGTCAAATTGATCGTGTCTTGTGCAATGTCCATTAATGATATGGTTCATTGATGTCCATCAACTTCTACTGTTTTTCCTTCTCAAATACAAAAAAAAAAAAAAAGATCAAGAGGGGCATGAAAGTCCCCAAACAAGGTACCTCAAGGTACAAAATATGAAATGAAAAATTTTTCATCTACGTCAATGTTAATTAGCCAAAAGAGTAACGATACTCTTACCAAATTTTACACCAAATCCCAAAATGGCATGGAGCTTCACCATCATAAGATAAATGGGTCCCATAAAAGATTTAACGAGATGTGTGCGACACATCATTGGAGGTTAAAAAATTATGCTTACATTTGAGATGAGTAGTATTACTTTTCTTCAAAATTCAAAAAGTAGTGCATGGAAAAAATAAAACTTAATTTTTTAATAAAAAGTCCGTTTTAGGCCCAATGGACTGTCCATAAGGTCTGACCCGTATTTAACCTGTTTTTGGCCCAATAGGCCCGGCCACGGCGGACATGAGCTTTAAAAATTCCTAATGGGCAGGGCCCGACCCACAGGGGTGTTATGGGCTAAAAAATACCAAGCTGGGCCCGCCCGTTGCCGAGGCCTGTATAACACCAAGGAATCGAAAATTAATAAAACGTTAAAACGTACTCTCTTTCGAGATGGACTAAAAAACAGACCCTCATGGAATGCATGTTTGTAGTAATGTACTGCTGGATAATAATTTTTTTTATTATTGTTATGTCCAAAACAAACAAATGAAAAGAAGATTGGAGAAAATGTACTTTCAATGGAGTAAATCTATCTAATATTACGATTAAAAAGTTAAATTTTTAACTTTTAAAAACACAATAACCGTTAAGATTAATTAAATTTTTATTTATTTTAATCCAATAGTATAAAATTTATTCCCATTTTTTTTCACTCAAAAAATATCATTTTTAATGCACAACTCTCCATATTAAACAACTCAATCAATACATCAATATCTTTTCCAATGTTAAGCAATTCCATTAATTCACATTTACCTCTTTTATTTTCTCTCGCCACTTTAATTTTTAATGGTGTAATTAAAAAATAGAAAAGAAAAATAATCACTATTTAGAATATAAATATTGCAAGGTTTTTTTTTTTGAACAGTTGCAAGATGAATGCTCAATTTTTTGTATTAGAGAATGTCTTCAAGTAAGGGGTTATTGCTAATTTTGTATGCTGTGAAACAAACAATTATCCTGCAAGAAGAAAGATTACTAACAGGATATTTTATTATTTTGACCATCTTTTTGCATATTTGAGGCACACAAGGCACAAGAAGGCCTAATATCGAATACGGATTTCCATGGAGACCTCATTATTGGCCCAACCATCTCTTGGCTCTATCTTTATTGATCTACCAATCTCTCTCTCTCTCTCTCTATACATATGTGTATGTGTATATATTTACATGAATTAAGTCAAAATTTTAGTCTCCTGTCTTCTCTGTTACAGCCACTTTTTTGATATTTATCTAGCAAAAAGAAACCAGGACACCATCAATTCAATCCCTGCTGTATATAGCCTTCATATTCTCATCTCTGCACATAGCTTTTCTGTCTGTGAAGTGGGTATTACCCCTATTTACTTTTGAAATGGAAAAGTCCCTTGTTGTTTTTCTTGTTCTCTCTTTTTTGCTCTTCATTCCCCTTTTTCATGGAGGAATAGCCATAGCTGAAAGAACCCAAGATGGAACAGAAGAATGGGGATATATTGAAGTCAGACCCAGTAAGCTTAATGCATCATATTCATTTTTCATATTCTGATACAGATTTTTATGCACAATGGTCCTGATCTTGGCTTCTTGGGTTTTGAACTATATTTAATACAGAAGCTCACATGTTCTGGTGGTACTACAGAAGCCCATACAAAGTTCAAGATCCAAACAAGCCATGGCCAATAGTTCTTTGGTTGCAGGGTGGACCTGTAAGTATTGGCTTTCAGAACATATAAACTGATACAACAAGCCAAAACTCATATAATTTTTAGTCATAAAGTCATGCTTCAGATGTGAAATTAAGACAGCTTTTAATATTATTTTTCTTTTCCAATGTTCAGTATCTACATCTGGAATAAATCTGTGTGTGTGGGTGTATTTATGTTGTATTACAAGTAGGGTGCTTCAGGAGTTGGAATTGGGAATTTTGAAGAGGTTGGGCCATTGGACACTGATTTGAAGCCCAGGAATTCGACATGGTTGCAAAAGGCTGATCTCTTGTTTGTGGTTAGTTAACGATTCTCGATGAATTTTCATCATGTTTAGGAACTGAAATTGGATATAGTTTTTGTTATCATTAATTTTTAATTTCTGTGTGATCTAGGACAACCCAGTTGGCACTGGATACAGTTATGTGGAGGATACAAAGCTATTGGTGAAAACTGATGAGGAGGCAGCTACTGATTTAACTAAATTATTAATGCTTATGTTCAATGGGAATGAGAGCCTCCAAAAGAGCCCTCTGTATATAGTGGCAGAGTCCTATGGAGGAAAATATGCTGTAACTCTTGGATTGTCAGCTTTGAAGGCTATAGAAGCTGGAACATTGAAACTTAAACTTGGAGGTAAATTGTACCCAAATCGTGGTTCGTCAAGAGTTCAGTGAATTCTGGTAACTATGAATTGTTCAGACCATGTAGCCTAATAAAAATATAACAGAATTTAAAGGGTGTAAGAAAAACCAGATTGGCCTTCTTCAATTTGCTGGAACTTTATCCAATTTTGTTTCTATTATGGATTTTTATCCACTTCCAAGTTGTTCATGTTGAGCTACAATCAACTGCATTTGAAAGTCGAAAGTTCTTTGTTTTGAACTCTGTCTCTATGTGTAGGAGTTGCATTGGGAGATAGTTGGATCTCACCAGAAGATTTTGTGGCAAGCAATTTTGTTTTAACTTTTGATTGAACCTTGTTTCCCTTGATTTGTCGTTTTCATATAATCATTCATATAGAACATCTAAACTTATAAGCTGATAAATTCTACTTGATAATTGCAGTTCTCGTGGGGTCCTCTTCTCAAAGGTGTTTCAAGGCTTGACAACAATGGTCTGCTGAAATCAAACAGGTCTACATTTATCATTTCTCCAATCAAAAAAATTGTGTGAAATTCTAATGTGGTAGAACTGGGAATGTTTTTGTTATCTAACTAGCCAATTTCAGAAAACAGTCTGGCTCAGCAAATCAGGGAGCAAATTGAAGATGGCCATTTGAAAGACGCAACTGATACATGGAGTAAACTCGAAGGTGTGATTAGCTCAAGCAGTAATTCTGTGGTATTTTTCTTTCTCCCGCCCCTTTATCTTTTACCCTTTTTGGATTTGTGATTGATCGTTTGAGTCCTTCCAAAAGATTGTCCAAAAAATTTCATTCTTCTGTTATTTTGAGCATATGCAGGACTTCTACAATTTTCTATTGGATTCGGGAATGGACCCTGTGTCCTTGACAGCATCTGAGCTATCACAAGGAATTGCAATGAAGCGATACTCGAGATATCTCGAATCCTTCAGGTTCTCTCCAGGTGGCAATGGTGATCTTGGTACCTTGATGGATGGTGCCATTAGGAAGAAGTTAAAAATTATCCCTGATAATGTGCAGTAAGTCTGTCTATTTTGTACATGATGAAGTTCAAAAGTGGAGAAGTTTTCAGCTGTGAACATGATATCAGTGTTGTGTTTACAGATGGGGATGGCAGTCAGATCTTGTTTTCACATCGCTAGCCGGCGATTTCATGAGACCAAGGATCAGTGAGGTAACCAAAAAAAAAATATTGCAGAGTTGGGATAATTGATTTTTGGCGGACATGAACTTGATTCAGAGGTTTCTTTGGTTATGGAAGTAAAAGCCAAGTTAATAATTATGTATATTTGGTATCTTTACTTGATTATTTTTTCTCCAGTAAATGAAGATTTGAGAACACAATAGAAAAAGACTAAGGTCAAAGTGGATGCATATAGTCAACTTCAGCCAAGTACTTCCCTTACAATCCAAAAAGCAGCCTTTAACTTCAATGCTAAAACTGCAAAAGCTAAGATGGAGACAGATGAAGAAGAGTGAAATCATAAAATTAACAATTATTTGTTTCCTTTTACTTGCAATTGATAAAGATCAGGAAGAGTACGATAGCAAGTGCTCATCTGCCAAATCAATATGTCGTGGATTCTAGTTTGAGAATTAATCTTGGACCTATAAGCGGGAAAATTGTATACTATGACAACATTTTAGTTGTAGAGTTTTTTTTTTTTTTGTTTAACTGTTAGAGTGTCCGGATAAACTTACGTACATCTCTAAATTAAGCCCACCCTCCCCAGAAGTTGCTTTCATACATGTCCTTATCAATTCAGTCCCTCCAGAAGCTTAGAGACTCTTAAAAGCAACTTGTATTCTTTGAAAGTATACACTCAAATGTGGTTACAATGTCCTAGCTTAAGACTTTGGTTATCTATTTACAGGTTGATGAACTCTTGGCAAAAGGAGTTAATGTGACAGTATACAATGGACAAGTAAGATTCCTCTCAGTCTTATTTGAAAAACTCTCACCACTGTGACGAATTAAGGATGTACTTTAGAGTGAAATCGTTCTATTTTTCATCCTATGTATAAGTTATTGATCCGCCGTTTGAGGGGTGGCATTAAAGATAGACTAGTATGCATTGGAGGGACTTATAATGGGTCGTTGCGTATCATGTTTATTTTGGATTTATGTTTTATGACACATGTAATTCAAATTGTAATAGATTATAACTGCATTGTGAATATCATTGAACTCCCAGTTAAATGAAATTGTTTGGTTTGGTTTGGTGGTTGTAGCTTGATGTCATTTGTGCAACCCCGGGGACTGAAGCATGGGTGGAGAAGCTTAAGTATGACTGAAACATCACACACCCACTCTCTCTCTCTCTCTCTCTCTCTCTCTCACACACACACACACATACACACATATACAAACACACAGAGGGAGGAGACTCATTTAGTGGCTATTGCATCAAAATTTTCAGGTGGGAAGGGATCAAAACTTTCTTGAGCATGAGTCGAACTCCAGTCTACTGTGGGGATGACAAAGTCACTAAAGGGTTCACCAAGTCGTACAAAAATTTGCATTTCTACTGGATTCTTGGAGCTGGTCACTTCGTAAGTACTGAAACCATAAATCATACTTAAAGTTTCTGATCGTCATGTAGTTGTCACCACTTCATATCTCATTTTCTCATTATGATAACATCATTGTAAACCCATTTGTTTCTATCCTCATTACATGACAAAGATGATCAATGGATTTGGCTATGAACCGCTAAAACCTTGCCTTTAAAATTTATTATTCACAATGGTGTTTTTATAATTTTGTAGGTAATTTAATAACCAAAAAAATTATCGTTTTCGTGAATGTTTTTATCACTATTGTGGTAATTATTTTTACCACTTTTCTTCGGTACAAAAAAATTTTCAAGTTTTGTAAGTGATTTATCAGTGCTATGGGTATTTTTACTACTATTACGGTAATTATTTTTATCACTTTTTTTGATACCACAACAGTGATAAAAATACTCTACAACAGTGATAAAAATACTCTCAAATGTAATAAATTTCGATATGATTTGTCTTTAATCGGATCAAAAATGAGATTAGTCAAAATGTACGTAAACTGATTGAAACATCTTGACAAAAAAAGATCAAAAGGCTTTTCCAACGGGTGGTTAACAATAGTGCCAATTGACAGTGAAGGTTTGAGTAACGGTGATTATGAGATGTCAACAATTCTAAGAAAGTCTTTGTTTTTTTTTTTTTTTTTTTCTGAAACAGGTACCTGTAGATCAGCCCTGCATTGCATTGAACATGGTGGGTAGCATCACACAGTCCCCAGTAGACTCTAACCAGATACGCAAACAATAAGCATACACATCGGGGGAGTGGGGACTCGAGGACAGGTTTTCTATTAAGTTGGTTCGAAATTCCCTTATTATAGGGTCAGTGATGCGGAATTGTCCTGGTAATTCTATCCAGCGACATGGCAATATTAATCTGGGTGTTTTAAGAGACGCGTTGCTTGTTTCATAGTTACCAAAAATAAATGTAATAATGTATTTTCAACAATGTATCATCTAGAGGAACATGTGCATTGTACCAAAATTGAAGTGTTTCATATGGAATAATTGCTTTATTATGCTCCAGTACCAATAATTTTTACACATTTTGTAGGGTAGAAAAAAAAATAACTCAAAATAAAAGGTTTTCTCTTCTTTTTTTTTTTTTGAGAATAATACCAATAGAAGATAAAAAATATTTAAAAAAAAAAAAAAAAGAAGCTTGGGAGGCCCTCAAAAACCGCTTACCCACAAAGCCAAAAACACATAAGATACAAATTGTGAGCTATATTTGTATTGTTTTTCAAGATAATTGCCTGATTTTTTTATGAATTTAGTAATTTTTATCCGTTTGGTATTATGCCATTTCGCTCTGGAAAAACATAAGCTGTTCCAGGATATGTTATGTTCAATTGGAATTTAGGTTGTCGCCAAAGCAAACGCATATCCTCTTCTTTTTTTAATTTTACCCTGATGGAAAAGGTGATCAGGAGCGATCAAACGCAAAAACCCACTCAGAACTAGGGCTGTTCGCCCTATCCTACGGGTAGGAAATATGATTTTTCGTCTTCCTACCCGATATTTTGCGAAAGAGTTTTTTCTTGGCCTACCCTACCCTACAGGTGTGGTATTCCTACCCGATTAATCGGGTAAGAAGTCAGATAAACATTTTGTATATTAATTTTTTGATCATTTTAACAATTTAATTAAGTAACATACACCAATTTAACAACACAATAAATTAATTAACACTAAAATCTAATCCCTGAAATCATACAGTTTCTCACAGTATTTGGATTAGCTAACATATACTAGATAGGAAGCCAAGCAACGAAATTAAAGATATAGTCTATATTTCAATGAATAACAGTAGTCGGTTTCTCATAGTTTCTCATAGTAGTCTATATTGCGATGAATAACAAATCGAAATTAAAGCTATTGCTGGCACAAACAACCCATTTATTTAGTTTTGTGCATCATCACTAACCTTGGTTCCAAGGCCATTCCAACAAAACACCACCCACCATACCAGCACCATTCAAAAAGAAATATTTTTGAGAGAGAGAGGTGGTGTCTACCCTTCAAAAAGAAAGACATATGTAAACAATATCCAATCAAAGACTATATTTAGGTTCACTCGTAAGTATACACAAATAAAATGACAATAGCCAGATCTGCAATATAGGAACAAAGACCAGGCCATCACGATCTGCAACATAGGATAAATACCCATGTATCTGCAACTCAGGTCAGACACAATCAAATCGCACATTGATCTACAACTCATGACCAGATCGCGCACAACAGAACCGATCTGTTATTGTAGATAAAGGTCTGCGATAAAACCTTCCAAGCTAGACCCCACCAGAGAGAGAGAGAGAAAGAGAACCTAGGTGGAAAGTCTGGAACGATGAAAGAGGAGCAATGAAGTGACCGAGTGAGATGTGAGACGCAGACGTTCTTGGGACTCTGTAGATTAAAATTTTTTTAGTATATATATATATATATATATTAAAAAATTATTACGGGTAGGCTAGGGTAAGAATGAGAAAATAGATGACTATTCCGCATTCCTACCTGATTTTTGCGACTAGTCGTTCAGTAAGATAGGGTAGGATCAGGTAAACTTGCAGCTGATCAAAAATTTGAACACCCCTACTCAGAACGTTACCTTAAAGTTATCACCTACTGTAAATGTTTTGTTTGAACCATAATTACTAACCTAAGATGGTTGAGTCTATCATCACAATACCACTGAGAACAAATTGAATATTTAACCTCTCCAACAATATTTGATTCACAGAAATTACTACCGCAAACGAATGCAAATCCATAACCACTAGAAGAGGACGAAACTTTCACCTTCTACTGAAAACCAACTAGGCTACCACCTCAATGGTAACGCATATCCTCTTCACACCCACTACATTGATGCCTATATCAAATGATCTTTAGGAGTCCTAGAATAAGCTTGGTTCAAAAACATGGACTATTTACGTATTTAAATTATTGAGGTAATGTGTCACTGACACAAAAACCTAGAGAAGAAAAGCAATTGCCCCATAAAAATGGCATGCTAGTTTTCAAACGACACAATACTATTTTGTATGCAACAAATTATCCAACAGGACGCTACAGTTAGCATATGTAGGAAAGGTGGAAGAAAGTGAAATTGGTGCTGTACTATGCTCAAGTAAACTCATTATTCTGTGTCTGATCTGATCCAAAATTACATCTGATGTTCCCTTTAAGGGATAATATTAACATAAGACGGGATATGCAACTGTGTGATATTCACTCGATTTAAATCATTTTACCGAGAAAATTCTCTATATAAATCAGGGAGAGTAAGAGACTATCCAATTTACATCAATAATACAGAAGGCAAATATATTGTAAAATGCAAGATTTTAACTGCTTGACTCTATCTTTTCCAACACTTCTAACCTGGGTTTTCTTTTCCAACCCTTCATCGTTGCAACAAGATTGACAAGCCCTATCATTTGACTTTTATTGTATTCCTGCAATGTAAAAGGTACATGCATTTTATGATGTAATGTAACCAAATGCATTTGATGCCCTATAAAACGTTCAACATCTAATCTTAATGAACAAAATTTCTTACCGGATGAGCACGCGCCCAATGCACATATTCCGTTTCTGGAAGGTAGTAGGCCTGTTGAAATGAAACATAGACAGAGAAAGGCAATCCATGAACATGATTGTGAACTAAGTTCCTCGAATGAGAGAGGGCACGAAACACGTGAGACAAAACATGAGGACTGCAGGTAAGATTTTCACTAGAGATCATGTGTCATAAGTTAACACATTCAAATTATATTTACTGTTCTTATGCTTACCTTGATGAAAGTTTCAACCATTTGTAGCTTTGGTTTCACATTAATGGAGACAAAATGCTGTAGCCCATTGATTAAAACCTGAACATACAAAGGAAGCAGTCATTTTTAACAATATTCTCAACAATAAACAAAACAATTAGATATTAGAGTGTGTAACATCTAGTCATGGTTCAGAAAGAACCTGGAGATCTAGTGACATAAGAGCTCGTCCCTCATCACTACACCTCTTCACTCGTGATAGGCCTTCAATGAGTGTTTCAGCAACAATTTCAAGCCCATATTCTAAGAGGACGTCTTGAACCTGGGATTAAAAGGTTGTAAGTTAGTATTTATTTCTATTTTGTTTGAAAAAATATTGGCTTTTAACATCTTTACATTGTGTTTATTACTAAGCCAAACCAACAAGCTATTAACACTTCTACACAAATCAACTCTACAAAGAGCTAGCCAAACATTAGAGTGGTTTTATACAGTTGAACAACAGCTTCATATATTGATCACATTGTAACATCTAAAGATTCTCAACAGGGCTATGGCCCAACATATTTTGATATTCTAGCCTTTCAGACCTAGCCATTGACTAATACATAGAACACATGCAGCTCAATGTGACCAAAGAAACTTTATTATATCTTACCTATCGAGTTTAATACATTTTTTCCGCTGTAACTGTCAAAACACATCAGCATATAAAGACAATCTATATTCCAGGTTCTTGAAGATTCCTATTTCCTGTTGCATTGCAGTTTTTATTTTAATGTGTACCCATAATTGTTGCACTTCTCATATTATCCACTGGAAACAAAATATTCCGAGGAAAATTAGAAGTCATACCAGGGGAAAAAGTACAAACAGTAAAACAAGATTTCATCCTTATGGTTTTTCCACAAAGATGAAGGAGAAACAAAAACAAAACTAACGAAACAGATTATATTTGTCGAGAAGTGAAAAATCGTATGGATACGATCTTTACACTCGAATCATTTTAGCCTTTTTAGGAAACTGTCACTGTTACTTTTCAAAAATGAAGAAACAAAATCCGAACTTTATGCTCAACAATTTTAGGACATTGCTACTTTTCTTTCTTTGTATGCACGAGATTCCCTGGATAGACTGAAACATCATACAAAGGAAATGCAGAAGTGGTACTTAAGAAGTATTGAGGTAACAGTCACGGTGTCCGATAATCACATCAATGATATACACTTAAATTGACAAAAGCAATATGCCAGGCTTGTGGGCTTTGAAACTGCAAAAGCCTCCATCATGGTAGTAAAGTGCTTGTCCCTAGATCATTTTTCAGTCTACTTTTCTACCTTGCACTCTTGAGATTTGCTAACCAGTGTGGATGGTCTTAAAACAACAAATGCAGCTGATCCAAAAAGTTTATGGCAGTCTCAATTATCACATCAAACAAACATATTCCGTTGAGGCAAGCATGCTCCTAACATTTGTAGCCAAGGCTTGAAAATCAGCAAAGCACCACTATAATGGTATTTCTTTTATAAGACTATCATTGTTTGTTTGTTAAAGAAGTTTGATCCAGGAGGAAGATCTCGCTTTCAATCTCACAGGATGTAGTATGATTGATTCGCATAAAATTCATTCTGTATTTTAGTGACTGAGAACATTTCACAACATATCAACCAGAAAAGATAACAGTTAACACCTATATGCATAATGATGTTAATACAACGGCTACAAACAATCTTCACAAGATACGATCCTTTTGACAAAACCTGAATATATTATAGCCAAAAGCTGGTGTCTGACTACATTCAATGCCAGCCATTACCTCTTTCTGAATGCCACCATGAGTGAGCCTTGTTTTATAGTGCTTAAATTCTCCCAACAACAAATCAACATACCTGTTAAACTCAGGGAGTCAGAAGAACACTAGTCAAACCTCAGTTATGAATATAATACAGAGACACTGAGAATATTGAGAAAATGGATCTCAGATACGGACTAAAAAATTTGTCAAAAAAAGCCCAAAACTCAACAACAGAGATAGCGATTTCAATAGGAAATGGAAAATGACAAGAATAAAACAATAAATGCTGCAATTGTCAGGGTACATTTCTTTTAGAAAGATGTGAGAAAGTATTTATGGAACTAGTAAAGAATCCGCACATGATGTATGAGAATACTAGGATTGTTGGTCATATGCCAAAACATGCACATTCAGGAGTACTCAGTCGAACCACAATGGCATAACTAATGCTATAATATTATGAGTTTTTTTAGTCACACCAAACACCCCCACCCTCTCCTCTTCTTTTCTTTCCATCTTGATAAACCTTTCTAATAATTCATCCCTCATCAAAAATAGAATACATACTGAGATGCCAAAATTGTCAGAACTAACATAAATTTTAATTGCACCATGTATGATCATCCAGATCAAAGCTAAGTGGATACTGAGAATCAACAATAATATTAACCTGCGTAAGCCTGGCACTTGCATATTCAAACACAAGACAATACTGCAGCTGACAATGCAATGCTTAAAAGTTTTCATTAAGGTAATCAAAAATGGATACCCGAAATAATAGGTTGAGAAAAAAAATTTAGCATCCAAAGAAAATGAGGCAACTACAAAATGGTAGAATGCTAGAGGATATGATGAGAAGTGAATTCAACAAGCCTACAAACACCCGAAGGCATTCAAAAATTAACAAAACAACTTCTGAAAAATATGTGAGCTACCACAATCTGCTAAACTTTCATAGTGAAAAATGGTTTAGATAAGACTTTTCACCCCACAATGATGTCGTCAAAATGATCAAAAGGGAGCACTTTGGACAAAATTAGAAAATCAAAAACCACCATTTTCTACATTGTTGTCTAACTGTAGAGAATGAGATTTCAAAAAGGACTAAATAACTACAAGTTTCAGAAAAGAGGATTATCAATTAAACATACCCATTATGCTCTAGTCCAAGCTCTTTAACTTCCCATTTAGCATTGGCAATCCGATCGACATACCTGCTAAAAGTATTTCCAGTCAAAACTAAACGCAATGCTCCACGATAAAAACGGATGCATTACAAGAATCAGACACTAACATTTTCTGTAAGCAGCAAGACAATAGCATTGTTGTTGCCTAGTATCCTATCAACCGCAAAAATAAAAGACTCAAAAAACTACACAACTAAAAGTTTTGTCCCACCTATTTGGAGGATGGATCTAAATTTCGCTTCGAAACGTTTTCATTTTTAAGGAGACTGAAACGAATCATGAGGTGTTTCGAGATATTTCAGCATGTTTCAACTAATGCTTCTTTATATTTCTAACTTCAAAGTGTTTCGAGATATTTCGGTATATTTTAATCAATAGTTTCCGTTCTGTTTTCGAAACGTTTCTGATTCAAGGGAACCAAAAAAAATACCATAAAACAAAATTTTGATCCTTGATTTGGGGTTGGCTACACGAATTATATCATATTTCATCATTGTGCTCTTATCAATATTTTCAGTTAAACTGCAAGCTATCATATTCTTTTTAACAATCTCATTCATACCTCTACCCCTCACATTGTCATTGATAGGTACCACATTACTCTTCCTTAATGGTTTAGATATAAGTTTCTATGTGCATGTTTAAACCATTATAATAATTCCTAAAATTCTTTATTGCTTTACAACACATCTATTCTACTGACTACGCTTTTTTTGCACAAACATAGCTCCATTTTCACCCAATTAACAGTCACAAGGTCATGCACCAAGACACGCCTTTTTGCGTTTACGATAATAAGTTCTTTTCTGGTCAATAAATCAGTAACATATATCCAATTCAACCTTCTCAGCATCTTAAATTGATAAGAACATTGGAGGTGATGACCTTTGATGACCTCGCCTTACTAAAAATCTAAAACATTAAAGCTAGCAACAAAGTGAGTCCAGGGAGGACAAGCTATAAGCAACCTAGCCCCCGCATACACATACGCAGAGGTTAATTTTGCGACTCGAACACTAGACACCAAGTCATAATAGACCAACCTCACTGCTACACCAAGGGCCACCGACAACATAACAACCTAAAATATGCCTTCTAAAAACTTGTCCCATGATTTAGTTGGAATAGCCAATTTTTATTCCTTCCCCCAGCTCCCCAAATTATTTTCCAAATTAGTGTAGGGAGCTATAATACTTGGCCTTTAAGACTTGTCACTAGAATGATACAAACAAGTTCCTAGAACTTTTGACCAGCAAAAATAGTGTTTTGTGACTTGGGACATTGATCTAAAAACAAGGAGGATGGTCAGGTCATGGAAATAGGAATTTAGGCTTAAAAAGTTGGGAGATTAAAGGGTAAGGAAGAATATGCACATTAATCCAAACATATTTCTGAACAATGGAACCTAAATTTTTTTTTATCGCACCAAAGATTCATATGCACATATATTGCTTCAAAAGGTCAACTGTAACTGAAAATTTCCCTGTAGTGTTATTCTCCATTAAATCTTCTGGCTGTAACTAATCATGACTTGAGAGCAAAATCTTTTACTTATCTAAATTATGCCTCCATCTTCAACACATATCAAGGAGGTAAGGTCCATCAACACAACAAAGATAAGTCCATCCACCAAAGGAAATCAAAGGCCATTCTACTAAAGGCTAAATACATCATGATATTGGCTTCCAAAATGATCGTGTGCCAATTGTCAACAACTTTGTTCCCTGTACCCAAAATATTAATTGTATTAAGTAAAATCTGATTTGATCCTTTGGTACCTTTTTTTCCCTGATTCATTCTTGCGGTTGTTAGTATTACTCCACTGATCAGGTTTTTTATTCACCACTACTGGTTAGCATTCACTCAATGGCTGTAGTCGACAAGTTGAAGATAATTGACAGAAAGTACTCAAATCTTCAGCGAAGTGTAATTGCTGTGCTTCCACCAGCCAAAACTCTCTTGGAAGATTGTTTGCGGCAAAGACCATTGGATGATCTGATGATCTGTTATGACAGTTTCATTTGTTTAGTAGGAACTAAAAGTGTTTTCCTTTATAGGTTTTGACATTTGAAAGGAGACCATCTTGGTTTACCCTTACAGAAAACTCTATGGATGCATTCAATTAACATTTACTATTACATATCACAAGTTTGCATCATTTCAGAGTTTAATCAAACCTAAATATCACTTACTGAATGAAGAAAATCTAAGGTTTTGAGAATGAGAGAAATGAAATTGGGGAGCGAAAAATTGGGGGTGGTATTGTAAATTAACTATCTTGTCAACTGGGTTTACCATTTAATTTGTGATCCAAAACCACTAGAGGGTTATGAGCTTATTTTTAATACTACGTTTTTAGGCTAATCATGAGGAGTAACAAGTGATTAACTCCTTTATAAATAAAGCAATTATATTTTTTTCAAGACTCTAGCTGATACAAATGTCAAACATAAGACAAAACCAACACACATCAGAACTCCCACGACATCTGAAACAGAATAAATGACAAAAAACAACACAAACACATTACCAGATCAACAAATGGAACTATCTCATGCAACCATATGCAAGAATGTAATACATTTTGACGACTACTATGCAACTTCTGCACAACTAACATGTGTGAGCTACAATTTTCAGATAGTACATACGATTGGGGAAAAAAACTAACTGAGCTATATGTTCTTATGTCTCACCCATCAATGTGAAGAAGTAATCTTGCAGTTGTTCTATGAATATGCTGCGTAAGATCTGGTACAGCATCCACCTGATAAAAAGCACATCCGTTTTTTCAAACCTAGGAACTTGTAAGGATGATAACTAGGGGATTAAAACACATCCTTTAATGAGATAAACATACTGCTGACTAATGTCATTGACTAATTATTGTAGAAACTGAATTGAACCATACCTAGAGATTTTTGCAATTTCTCCAACTAGATTAAAGGAATTAAAAATGCACATAATATATTTAGATAAATGGAAAAAAATAATATCAAGGATCAATTCAAAAGTACATCGTGTTGACTGAAACTGATGAAAATACTCCCAAATAATTAGGAAACTACAGATTGAAAAAGTCAAGCTTCTTTAATGTAGAATGAAAACCGTCTCCCTCTTCCTCTAAGTGAAACTCTGAAAGTCTCAATCCTACCCTTGTATGAATATCGGTTTTCTTTAAGCTTTACAACCTATTTACATAGACAAACTATTTACCGCATCATATGCACATAGTTCCATAGCATGTTTATATTGAAACATTATTTTTTAGAATTGCTTCTATAGAGTTGTATTCCACCATACACATATGGTGGGGAACAGACGTTGGAATAATTGATACACAAGCCAGATAGAGCATGATGCATGTCCGCCCCGCGGCACACAAATTCTATGTCAGTATATCAACTTTTAAGATATCAAATTCATGTCCCTTTTAACAATAAAACAGGACAATTATATGTGCTAAATAACCAAATCTACTCGGCCATTATCTTTTTAGTTGAATGATCAAATTTTTTATCACAACCACAATTGAAATGACAGCTTCGCTAGTATCAAATGTTAGGAGCATCTCAAGACACAATGGACAATGAGGGACTCCTTCAAATTTGGTCACAGATCCATACCAAATGCGCATAGAAATCTTCAACTATAGCGGCATTATTTTGCAGAAGCATCGATTGAAGATGAGCTCTAGATCTGTGCAATAATTGGGCAACAAGGGACATAGTGTGGGCACCTGCACATCTTTCCTGCAGCATAATGTCAATATTGGCAGTACACACCAGTTAAGCTGAGACCGTTTTAGCCAGAAAAATCTACAACTATATAAAACAACAACTAGTTTCAAATAAACAAGTAGCTATGAACATTTGATGTTGTGTAATTAAGTAGTAGGCATATTTTGTACCCGCAAAAATAAATGTATTTCAGAGTGCATATGCATGCATATATTCCCCCATCTAATGAGTTTCTTTATATCCCAAAGTAAATGATTCTACAGTGTCAGATCATATAAGTCAGTAAGTTTGTCTATCCCACGCTAGAGTGACTGTCTGTGTTGAAGGTAACTCTGCAAGATACCTTCCAAAAGAATCTTAAATTACAATAAACTCCCCAACAGATAGCAAGGGCTTGCAGTTCATTTATTTCACAATCAATTTTTTCCCCAAGTAGTTCACTACTATCTATTTTCTGTTAAGTAGCACATGAATTCTATATTAATACTCATCAGCTACTGAATAGATAACATAAATTTGCAAGCGTACATCAAATTACAAATCATATCACTTTCTGTCTCCAACAGTACATTTATAAAAGCCAAATTTGAAGTTGCTGCATAACTTGGGTAAAAGTGCAGCATGAAACCTGCATCTGAATTAACTTGTCTAATTAACATCAAGAAAGAAAAAGTTTCCTATATGGGAGGGAAACTAAATACTAGCAAAATGTAAATAAGTAGAACAGTACTCCAACAAGAAAAGTACCTTGAGACCAGAAGAAGGGCTGGGTGAGTGGCCAAAATTTGTACTGGGTGGGCTAGTAGGTGTGACGTCCGTAAGGCTGAATGACGTATTCAAAGATGTAGGTGACGATGAATTAAACGATACAGATGGAGGTTTTATCCACTGCTCACAATCTTGAGTTATTCTGGATAGAGCAGTCTTCAGCCGGTCTGAGTACCATAAAGAAAGAGTATTTCTAACTCAAACATTCCATCAGATAGAAAGAACTGACTCTAAGAACAATGTCCTTAAGAAAGTAACAGAACAAAACAGAGATAATGCAGAATCACAAAAGAAAGAAGCAAGAAATAAAAAAGTAAACAGCTGTTATCTTTTTACTTTCTTCACCTTTTTTTTTTGTTTGAGGCTGCTGGGGAGAGAGAAAGAGAGAGAGAGAGAATACTTACAAGTAAGGGAGTCCGTCGAGCTTTTTCCACTAGGATAATTACCGAAAGTTTCAAATACAAAATGGAAAAAAATCCCAAACAACTGGCAAATTCCCTGACAGAATTGACCAAATCAGTCAAAAGTAAAGATTGTAAGCTAACTAAAATAGACTTCATGGACAGAACCAAAAAAGACGGGAGAACTATCCAACATACTCGTACCTTAAAAAACTCAACATTGACTATCTCAAGTTTCTGTATTAGCCTTGCGTATTTATCCATTAACCTATTCAGCAAAATGCATTCAGCTCAATGCAGCTAAGGACATAGCCAATAATTCAGAGTCTGAAAAACGAGTTCACCTTAAAAGGCTAAGAGATGATCCTGTTTGTGCTCTCATTTCTTCGTCGTTGCCATGTGAAGAGTAGTTTCTTGAATGCTTAGGTTTGGAAATGCGGCTTGGGAGTTGACTATCTTCATCAATAAAGTCCGCATGAAGATCTTCATTTTCATCTTCTGAAGCAGAAGCATTGCCATTAACATACAAAGTGTTTGGAGAAGACTTGTTATTGTGAGAATTCTCATTGACTTTTCCAGTTTCCCCAGGGATTACTGATCCATTAAGTAAATAGATATCGTGATGCTCCTTGGATGTACAGCTCAATTTCGACGAAAATGGATTTCCACTTTTAAGCCAATGGGAAAATCCACTCTTAATAGAACCAGTTTCAGCTAGATTTGTTGATTTATTGGAGTGCAGCACCTGAGCATTAGGAGAGTTATCAGATGGAGCAATCAGTGCTTCCCCGTCACCAATAAGGCCAGCAAAAGTTACTACTTGTATTGTGTCTGGTGGAATTGTCAACCAAGTCTCCTTTTCTAGTACCATTTTCAGCGCCTGCCAAGAAATGCTCATGTCGGTCATATTCTTAAATCATAAATGCATTGATATTGTAGTATGGTACGACATAAAGTACTAATTAATGCCCGAAATTTGAATACCGATAGAAGTCATTAGAACATGAAAAAGACATCATGCACAAGCCAACAGACAAAAAAAGTGGCTGCTGAGCTGAAACAATCCCATCCAATCCTTTTTCTAGACACACCCAACACACAGGAAAAAAAGAATAAAACAGTAAAAGAAATGATACAAAAAAAAAAAAAAAAATTAGAGGCTAGTGGCTCATACTCCATGGGCTTAATGGAGAAATCTTGTGGAGTGTTCCAGATAAGATCTAATATAAAGCACCTCAATCAATAAAATAATGATGAAAGAAGCAAAAAAAAAAAGACAAAATAAAGTCTTCAAGAGAGTCTTCCCGACACTAATCTGCAGATGTAGGTCTTAAGACTGAAGAAAAGTGGCAGTGCAAAAACTTCAGACTGTATGTATAACTAGTAAAAAATTGTGATTTTTTTCCAAAATCCACAAAGATGATACACAAATATATTTGTGTCCTCTTCTTGAACATTCCAAATACGCACAACGCATGACCAACTGGCCAACCATGCAACCGGGAATGCAAAGTTAAAAAAAGGTTGGATGCATAGCATTTTTCTATTTTATTATTTTTCCCTGGCAGGAACGCATTGGCATACATCATACAAATTATTACACAAACATGTCAAAACAAACAATAAATAAGAATGTTATGGAGCAATAGATGATTAACCAACTTACATATATATTTTGCCGATGAAAAGCTACAAAATAATTCTCGCATACGGCTTTCACTTTTTGCCTGAACTCAACTGCTTCAACCCCACAAAAAGCTTCCCCAGCCAAGATGAAGATATTTAGTTCTTCATAATTTCTCAAAAATTGGTGAATGCTGGTAGAACAAACAGCAGTAGAAGAAAGCAACACTGATACACGGCTGGTGGTAAGATGCCAAAAATTCTTCCGGCCTCTCTGTAAGGTTTGTGAAACAAATGCTGTGGCATCCTTCCGCAACTGGAACCAGGGGGATCCACTGCTTGATGCTGCACTCCCACCATCCCTTGTCTCTTCAGCCGAGTCAGGAGGATCTATATACATGGAGCCATTGGATCCAGTAGCATCAGATAAAGAGGTGGTAGTTTTTGATGGTTCCTCCATGGACGAAAAAATGGGCAATCGATCTACGGATTCAGAGAGTAAACCATCATCTGCCTGGGAATTTGAAGAAATTCTTGTTATGGAATCAACAGGCTTAACATCCTCTGAAAATCCAGAAACATCGCCTTGCTTCTGATTTATAGCAAGTATTTGGCATGCTGAAACCTGTGACAAAAATATAGAAGCTCCATAAAGACCCACGGATACACCATTTAACAGAGAAAAAGATAAAACAACTTTGACAAAAGACCGAGTTAGGCATGCATCACGAACAAACAGCCAAAAACCATCCAGAGAAGAACAACACATAAACATACTTTGCTGGGAACAAATTTAAAACCACACATGAAAAGTCATTATCAATATTACTTAGGTGAATTGAATTTTCAGTAGTAGAAGCTTTAGTAACAGGTTGATTACAAATATGGCTGCATTTACTATGAAACATGGATATTCCGTCAAGGTCAGCGTATCTGTTGCTCGTTGGATAGTCGAAAATATGTATCGGATACACATCATACATATCAAACAATAAATAAAATATGTGAATACTTCACTGATACTTTCATATGCAGAGCAATATATAAAATTTTTAATTTTAATCTTTTCCTCCTCTCAAATTCACATGCTATGTAATACAACAACAAAAATCCATGACTTTGAAGGCACATGGTTATTTTTTTAAGTATTGTCCATTATCGCATGTCAAATGAGTATAAATGAGGTAATTACATTAAAGACTTGGCACCAAATATTTCTAAGCAAACCAACTAATTAAATGTTGGTTCTGATTCCTTTACTTGGTCACATTAACTTTGTGGCTGTATCATAATGAGACAATATATTACCTTTTTTCAATGTGAAAATTGTAAAAAGAAAAAGGAAAACCAACATCCAAAGCATTAATAAGGACAAATGATTCAAAGGGTCGAGTACATGGCCTCCAATATGCAAGCCTAATCATGTAAAAACAACAATTTCAGTCACTTGGCAAAAATATGTGATTAAAATCTAAACAATAAGAGAAAACCACAGAGAACAACCAAACAATACGAGGAAACCACAGAGAGCAACAATGGTGAAGTTCACCTCACTTGCCGGCTGGAAGCTCATGATTGCATAATATGAACACATCAAATTGAAAACTGCAGCCAAGGTTGCTAACAAACACTGTCTAAACTTGGATTCAGGTATCCGAAGGCATAGATCACTGTAGGTAAGTCTGGCACTGGAAAGTGAAGTTAAATAAAGAAAGAAATAAAAATAGAGCAACAGTTATAAATGACAAACAAGGGATGCCAAGACAAAGAAACCATACCTAGTACTTTGCATACTGGTAGTTTCCAGATCCTGTCAAATTTAAGTAGCCACCTTGGTGAATAAGTTGCCGTAAGTGAGAAAATGAATACTCTAGAGCTCTAGAATACATGTATTATTAGATAATAGCAAGATAATAAATTTACCAGAAAGAAAGAAACAACAAAACATGATAGATGATGTAATTGTTCAACCCATCATGGCATCAACATGGGTGCACAAATCAGAGATTTTATTTTTCTGGAATATGTATGTCGTAAACACACCCCAACCTTTTGGAGCTAGCTGGAAATATCATTTAAGCCAACAGCTGATCACCTTTAATCAAAGATTAAAAAAGTGTGAAGTTCAACTTAGAAGCTGGAGTGTGTCATTTGGTACATACAAGCGTACCTTTTTTTCTGTCACGTATATGATGGGCAATAGAGAGAGAGAGAGAGAGAGACTACAGAATAATTTAAACTTTAAAAAAAAAAAACTTTTTTCCAGTAAGTTCAAATTTTAAAAGCAAAACAGTTCATTTGCATTGTGCTAGACAACCCCTTTCGAATTGCCAGGAGTTACACATTAGCACAGCATCCCAGGGATGTAGTGTCCAGAATGTTTCTTTGCTAAGGTCACAGCTCTGTGGTCCACTCTCTCAGCATGTCCAAACAGATAACCTAAAGAATATGTTGCAGTTATTGTGGAACATCAAACTTACTAATTCTAGTGCGTATCAAACTGCAATCGCTCATAGGTAATGATCTACTACTGATAACCAAAGTTTATACTTTACCTCACATATTCGTATTCAACGTAATTATTTTGCAAGTAATATAGTATCACAATGTAAGTTAGACAATGATAACAGTTAACAACACCAATTCTTCTCTTATTTACTCTATCATGCTGCTTCAGTAACTGATTCAATGCAGCATACTGATATTCATTACACCAACATACCTCTTGCACAATATTCTTCAAAACAGAGTGAGTTTCCGAAAGAACCTCCTGCATAAAGAAGCTTTGCATCTTTTCAGCAAGACCAGAAACATCCCCGATTAATGCATAAGCATCAACTACCTGCAAGGCATTCCAATAGTTTAATTTAATTTTGGATTTGCACAAAAACAAAAATGAAAATTACAACATTATATGCAACATATCATTGTTTGTTCCTTTCAGATAACATGGATGATTGTTTTAGTGGTTGCTATAGCATGATATAGCAAGGCAAGGCATTTTGCTTTCGCTAACAGTGCAAAGCACAGCTGGTACTTATTTTTTGGTTTACTTCTGTACATGCAAATTTTCCTAGACAGAGACGCCACGGATATGGAAAACTCAAAACTTCTCCAATATATCATTGCCAAGAAATCCTACCTGACGAACTGTCAATTTGAGAACTCATCAACCTGTCAAACTTTCCCATTAAGTTTTTGGATACAAAGTCTTATGACCATGGCAAATGATCACCAATATTTCCTCTTCTCTATTACAGAAAGATGCTCAAATCTCAATAGCTGTAATACCAAGATCATGACTCTCTGCTCTTGCAATTCAAAAAATAATAGCAGCTGCTCCAAAGACCAGAAAATTTAAAGTACAGAGTTTATAATGATACTGGAAATAGTTAAATCCAGTTTTCTTAATCTCAGACAAAATAAAAAAAAATAAGCACTTACTAAAATGGCTTATGTTATAAAAAGGAGAGCCCGCTAACAGAAACCAAGCATATCCTATCTAACAGGACTGTCGAGCTCGACATCAAACAGTCTGATTTCACAAAACAGTCGCTGTTCACTTGTGTTGTCCAGACCAGATGAGGCGTAACTACTACATTTTTTACAAACTGCAAAAGCCACATGTGGATTTGCAATATAGTATAAAAAATTTGAAAATTAAAGACCCCGACTTAAAACTGGAAATCTAAAAGATGTGATCAAATATTCTGTTTTAATCCAAGTACATTGTAGATCCTGTGCCACTACACCTTTTCTTAGGAGATGTTAAGCTTTTATGATATTATAGTGCTTCCTTTGCACTATATGGTGAAGGATAAATTTAGCAATTTTAAATCCCAAGAAATGTGTACTTAACGTCTTGTTTCCCGTGTACATAAATATTACTTCTTGTGCATTTTGCTCACATTTATTAGATATCATGCCTCTCATTTTATATTCTACTAAGTAATTTTGAGATTAATTTTGAGATTTAAATCTTATGAAACAACATACCATAATATTAAATTTATAGGAGTCAATACATCAGAGGGTACATGATTCGACAAATATTTCACCTATACTCACTCTATATGACCATGTAAAAAACAAAGACAGCATATTGCTATGTACAACATTTAGATTAAGCTACATCCAGATGGCATATATTCAAGTCCTAGAATACAAAATATCTACCTCCCTTTTTAAAAATTCCCTTTATTGCTGGGACATGGGGAGAATAGAGTTTATGTGTATTAATTTAGAAGGGTATATTAGGAGCTAAATCTCGTGGTCAATATGCATCCAACATACTTATCACCTGAAAAAGTCTATGTAACCTTGATGTGGTTCAATCTTTTTATCATATTTCAAAAAGCATGAGTTAAGCCAATTAAATTGTACCCTTTTCACAAAACCAAATTAGCAGCCTGATGTATACCTATAGATTCAAAAAAAGCCAATCAACAAACCAGCCACACCTGAAACTACTCACTATTTTTTGGAGGGTGATCCAATTACATTTCCTAAAATACAATGAAACATAATTTCAATCCTGGCAACATACTTCATTACTACCTGGTCATCTTTGGTTTTATATCCCCCAAAAGATGAAGCCATGAATATATTGGTATCTTATGTTCGTAAGGAAACTTTAAAGCCCCCTTCCAATTGACTAGAACTGCTTCCCCTTTGCCAACATATTCCCCTTTCAATTCACATCTTCACTTAGCCCCACAGTCCAAAAACTATATCCCTTTCTTTCGTGTGGGTGTCAGGGGGTTTGTCCTTCAGAATTATATCATGGACCACCCTTTTCCCATAAGGTTGAACAACTTGCCAAATATATGTCAAACATATGCACGACACAATTATGTCTACAATGAAATTCGGGAAAAGATACACACACACACACACACAGAGAAAACAACACAAACAACATCAGAGAGATTAAATCCAACATCAGCAAAGAGTTCACATCTAGCAGTGTTTTTGAGACCCAACATCTAGCAGTGTTAGGATCATTGATATCAAAATTATACGATTTGTGATTCAATTCCTATCTTACTATTAGAATCATCTTTTTTTGGCCGAGAATCGCAGAATCTCAAGAATCACAGGAATCGTACAACTCATTTTATATATTTTTTTAACCCAATTTCTAGTAAAACGTCATTTTGCTAGAAGAGACCCACCCCCAAATATAAAACTCACGCCTCTCTCTGTATCTCCTATTCTTATCACTGCCTCTCAAGCAACTGCTCAAGAGTCTGTGAACATCACACAGAGACGATGTCTCCTTCACTCCAGATATGCTTCTTCTTCTTTAAAAACAGCTACCAACCCCTAATATACCCTATTTCTTCTTCTTTTTCATTAAATGCTCTGTTTTTGTTTTTCATCAAAATTTTTTATTTTTCAATTAAATATGGGAAGTAATTTTCTAAGTTTACTTGTTTGAATCAGCAAAGTTTTTCCTATTTTAGTTCAACTTCATTGGTAGAATGACAATAACTATTTGTTGGTTAAAATCATGTATTTTTTATCATGGTCATTTTTTAGAAAATGATTTATTATGCATTAAGAAAGAAATAACAAAGGTACAAACTCAAGTGTAGTTTTATAAAGATTTATAAAGGTTAGCATCTGTCCATTTAGACAATGTGATCATGTCAATACTTGTCAATTGATTACTTTTAAAATATAATAATATTCAATATTTAATATCTTAGCCATTTTAAATATGTACATGTTATTTTTTATCATTGTTCGAATTTTGTGTGGAACTTTACGGTCCCCGATTCTCAAATCTAAGATTTTGACTCCCAATATGATTCTCGATTTGATAACTATGATTAAGATATTGGGATCCCCAAAGAAATATCATCAATGCCTTGAAAGATTCAATTTTGTGATATCACGCATGTCGCATGTGGACATTTGATGTTGCGGAAAATTGCAATAGAGCATTTTATTGAAAAGAAAAAAGAAAAAATGTAAAACAATTAATTTTCAAGTAAACTTGTAGAAAGTAACAAGAATAAATATCAATTTTTTCCAGTTTTTGAAATAAGTAACTACTTGGTAGTGATTATTAAATATTGATCAAGAATACAACACCTTTTAAGGAAAATTAAAAACAAAAAACTATAAAGGATTTTTGTGATTGGTATAATTTCGTGAAACATGAATCAAGGTGGTTGAAGTTGCGGTTAATGTGTTGAAGATTGAAGATGATCAAGCTAAGTGACATTGAGCTTATTTGAAAAATGGATTGAAGTTGCGGTCAATGTGTTGAAGATTGAAGATGATTAAGCTAAGTGACATTGAGCTTATTTGAAAAATGGATTGAAGATCAATGGAGATGTTAAAGCTAAACTCATGGCAATCACACACAAGGTAGATTTGGTAAATGAACCTAAATACCTTGGTAAACCATGATCTTAAAAGGACAAATATTTTCAAAACTTGATGCAAATTAAGGCTTAAATATAGCCCACATACAAGTAAAACCTTATGAAGCTTGATTAAAGTCATTTGGACCAAGTTTGGAAACTTTATAATAGTTGGTGCTCACTTAGCACGGGCTACTCGCTCGAGCGAGCAAGTTAGTACAAGGATTTGATAACTGTTGAGACTCAAGCTAGCTTCTCGCACACTTTGCGCACAAACAATGACAAGCGCATTGGAGTGACTGTCAGAATTCACTAAACCACTGACGACCCACGATTTAGGTACATCGATCTTGAATAAGGTGGGTTTACGATCCAGATTACTAAAATGTACGATCCCAAATTGTAAACGTAATACAAATATAAAATACATATTAATTAACTACGTGTATATAAATTTATAATTATATGTTTTTTTAGATAATAGAAAATTGAGCAAAAATGTAAGATAAATGGTATCTGTCATAGTATTTGTGGATGTTCTATGATGTATAATGTTGCATAGCGGTAAAAACGATCTAGATAAGAGTTCTAAAACGAATTGCGACCCAAAATATTATACCAGCTAATGCGTACCTAAGAAAGTGTCGTACCGTGTATTCGTACCCGGATCATATATATATATATATATATATATATATATATATATATATATATATATAGGTAACATTATGTGACATTCCAGAATCCTGAAAACGTTAGAAAACCTTCCAAATTTCGTTCTATGGGTTGCATCTATAAAAACAAAACCCTAAGAGGTCTGAGAAGAATAAGATTGAGATACAACAAGGACCTAGGAGCCATGAGAGAGTTTGAGGAGTAAACCTTGTGAGATGAAGTTTTTGTTCTTCTCTTAGTGTCAAAGAGTGCTAATTATTTTGACTAGAGATTTAAGATAAATCTTTTGAGTGTTATGTGAACAACATAGTCAAACCGAGCCTTTAGAGATACGAGTTTTCTCAAATTCAAAGCCAATTCAGAGATTTTCTTGAAGATCCTAGGAGGAAGATTAAGGTTCGAAAGAGGACAAGTCAACAAGTATTCTGGGGGAACATGATCTAGCCTTTTTATCGGAGGAGACGATGATCTACAAGTTAAACGACAATAGGAAATTTGTCGCAAGTACTATAAGACAACAAATATGTTACAAAGGGTTGTAAGTAGTGAGTTTATACGTCTGATTTCAATAAAAGAGGGTTTAGGTTGGACTTGGTCCCCTTGATTTTTTCCCAAAAGGGGTTTCGCGTAAAAAATTGTGTGCCTTGCCTTCTCATTTGTGTGATTGATTGTTTGATTGTTTCATACACATTAGATCGATATATCACAGTACCTTGATCATAGATGTGTTGGACAATCTTTATTGATTATTGGTATATAAATTTATGTGGTTTTTTTGAAGTAGGTCAAGTAAATTTAAATTCGGAGTTGATTCTGCATTCGACCTTTAAATTCGGAGTTGATTCCGCATTCGACCTAGATAGCATTTACCCACCCCCTCCCAATAGGTTCAATTAGGGTTTACAAGACATTAATCCACACAATCTCAAGAACCATGATCTAAACCAATAACAATAGAAACTTATGTACAGTGTAGCTGACAACAAGCATGGCTCTAGGACAGAACATTTGTTAGTGATGCACGAAAATGCTGAACCAACCAAAACAGCAACAAGTGATCAAAGCTGGTTACAAACGCAGGGAGAATAGAAATTGCCCACTGAACATGATAATGATGATGCACAAGTCCGGGTGATATAACCTACTTTAATGGCAAGCATAACAGAAGCCGGTAATGTTATGAAATTCGATATTTCTACAATTATGTTCTCCAAATTGACAAATTAAAAGTTTTCCAGCCGTTACCATCAAATCGACCCAGCATGTGTTAATCAGTCCATGTGTAGAGATATGACAAAAAGAAATACTGAATTGTGAAAATGAACCCAAAAGTTGAGAACAATCTACTACAAATCACTTAAATTAATGCATTGCACACCAGAAATAAATAACATTCCACACCAAAAAAAGGTGATGTTACTGACAGTTATGTAGCCATTTTCTTTGAAGGCTTGGCACACTCCCAACAACAGTGAATCCAGCTTTTGAAGAGTTTTTCCTAGCCAGACCTGAAATGATGTTGAAAATGGGCCAGATCATGACCAACTTTTACAATATCAACAATGAAATAACCAGAAATATGAAGAAAAATAAATTAACAAAAACATGTGCGGACAAAAATCAAGGAATGGCAAAGAAAATATCTCTAATGTTTTACTTCTCAGTTTTCACCTCAACATCATGGCTCATCTCTTGTATGGAAGAAAGCTCTGACAAACTATCCAAAAGTTGCAAATACTCAGATAAGACTTGGAATGCCTGTACAGTCCACTAAATTGAGTATCTAGCAGAAGAAGTATTTAAATAGCAACAACCAGTGGATTTGTATTATGTAAGACAAGCCAAAGAATTGGAAAACACAAGGTGTCATAAAAAAGGGAATACCACCTTACAGAAATTTTCTTCCTCGACATGGGTTTCAAGTGCTGCTTGCATTTCAAGTGCACGACGAATCTCAGTTAAGATTGGAAGCATTTCCTGCGAGTTGCAATATTTGTTGTGGGTGCAGGTATACAACAGCCATCAAAAAGAAAGCAACCTCCAAATCTAAGCGACAGTCGTGAAAAAAGACCAAAAAGAAAACAGGTCCAGTGTGACATTACTTTCCCCCTTGTCCTTGTACAGTAAGAAATATATTTCATCAAATTCTATGCCATAGACTGCTAAGCATAACTAAACTGATTAGCACTCTAAAAAGTTTTGGATTATCTGCAGTATTATCAATATTTCTAGCCAAACCCCATCTTTTACCATATAACGATAAACCAAATCAAAATGTTATGTCAAAACCCAAGTTCTGCCTTGAAGAATTGTCCTATGATGAGAAATTCCAGATGTTACGCAAAGAAAAGAAGAAACAAGGCCCTTTCGTAAAATTCCATTATATTAGGAGAAGCCATCTAGCCATTTTTCTCAGAGAAAAATATATGAGAAAAGGAAAAAATCACTGCTAAAAAGTTAGGTGACTCGTACAAGGTTTGAACATTTTTCCCAGTAAATGTTTGAATTACAACAAAGGGAAATACCATGAGCATGTTTGGAAAGAAAACTAAAACATTTTACACCAAATAGGAACAAAAAAAATCTCTAACAAAGTGACAAATTTATCTCAGATAAACATTCTTGACTACGGAAATTCACTAGAAATATTGTATAGCCACATAGGAGGACATGAAGGAAGCAAAAGACTTACCTAAACTAATTTCAGTTGCCATTTTCCATCTACAAAGTTTTCTGGGGAACCATTTCTATCAAAACAAATTGGACTACTTAAACTTTTCCACCAATACAAATGGGAAAAATAGAGAAAATTTTGGTAGGGTAGCTGATTCTATCAGGATAAGCACGTAATTAAATATGGAAGTCATATGTCAATCTAAGCCTCAACACATGCCTATGCTTTGTTTGAAGAAATAAATAAAGTTTGATAATGCTGGGAGTGTAAAGAAAGGGAAGTACCAGAAGTGCTTGTTTCTTTTTAGAATTTGTAGTGACAATGAGATCCCTTGATACCTCAGTCCTCGATGAGGTTAGGTGTCTTCGCCCATTCTGCATATTCCAAACAAAGGTATAGTAAAACCATGGTTCCAGCAAGGCACCCGCTTTCGCCTAAGCTTCTTAGCTTGATGCAGTAATATCAACACCACAGTATGAATAATAAGACCTAATATGTTGCCAATCTAATCATAAGAATGAGTTCATTATCTGTCAGCATATTCCAATTAAGGCATGCAGACGCAACACCATCACTGCTTACCATGCAAATGACATTTGCAACCTTCAAGTCCTTCTCCAATTCCCCCACCAATTGCATCCCCTTCACTGGCCAGAAACAAGTATTAACATTCCATTTGGTGCCAACTCAACTTTAAAGTGCAAACTTCTATATAAGGACTACTAATATAGCACAACAGGCAAAAAAAGGCCTCTCGATTCATCAACTGTTCAGCCAACCAAAAAAGATAAGGAAGCCAAGAGAAGAAAAGTAACTATCTTTAACATCATCATGTGTAATAACATAATACCAATAGGATTTTGGAATACGTAATTGAAGGAAAATACGACTTTATTGTATATAGATCAACTCAAAACAATATAAGCATAAGCAAAGACTTTGTTGGGCCAAGGCTTTGTTAAGTTGAACTGAGTTTTGTAAACAAAGATGAAGACATACAGATTACTATATGTATATACTAGAGTGCTTGAATGTATGGTGCAATGTGAATGGTTTTGAGAGAGATGTTGGTAACCGTTGGATGAGTATATTTAAGACCGTCGGATGGGCTTATTGAAACCTGCCTTGTATTAAATTATAGATAAGTGGTGGTGCACATTTCACTCCAATACAAAAGCGATGGTGCACATTTTTCTCCTATTTTACTCTCAAAAAATAAGTTTTCCCTCACATATCCTTGTAGCAGCCACCTGAGTGTCCAAGGATCATGACGTGTTATAAGGCTATTGATCAAGTTACCTACCCAGGACACATGTCAAAAGCTAGACTAAAAACGCTGGACAACCAAAACTCTTGCTGACTTACAAGGTGGGCCACCCCATCTGCCATTACTCAACTTTTTAAATCCAATACATCACCAATCCAATATCTGGGCACTTGTCTTCCATGGGCAGATCCAGAGATTTGTACCTGATGTGTCTCCAACAGCAAGCGGTCTTCCACTTGCCTGGTTTGCGTGTGGACTGCAGCCATCTTTTTCCCTAACACACTGAACTTCCACAGCAGAGCTTCCACAACCCAGATCCAGCCCTAATCACTGTGGTAGACCAAGGTTGAGAACTTACAAACGAAAACTCATGAGCAAACCAAAACTCATGAGCAAATAGAAAACTTTTTTGAAAGCCCAAGTTCACAGCACAAACCTGAGCTACATAAATTCGGATACACCAGCTCAACCAACTTAAAAGTTTTCTAAACACCTTTCAAAAGAGTTTTTCTTCCAAATAACTTAAACTCCACACATTGACATATACCCATCAGTTTCTTAAAACACAAGTCTAGACAACTTGGGCATTTCCACAAGAAATATGCTCAAACTTACATGCTCCTTGACATGACGCCTTAAAAACAACCATAACCCAGAATAACATCTGAACGAAACCCATAGAAAATCATCCAATCTGACAGAGCTCGGGAGAAATCATCTAACTATCTACACTTCGAGATTCTGAGTATGATGAACTGGAACTGGAGATTTCAGTCACAGTTTGAAATGAGGGTTCTTGCTCATGTTTTTCTCTAATTTCTTGAATTGCAATTGAACCAAACATGATATATCATCTATAACACACCTGCAATGCATTCTCATCATAATACTATTATTATTGGACAAAATACAACACAAAGCACTTCAAGAGGATCACTATTTATCCCAAGGTGGCTGTCTACAAAGGCATCAGATTTTAGATGGTGTTTTGGTAGGTCTAGACCCAGACCTTTGCAGATTAAAGATATTAAACTGGACTGGCCGAGCTCCTTGAAGATTTGATTGAAGACATGGACTTCAAGTTTAGACTCATCACAGCCACATCGGTTAGGTTTGGTAAGTAGACTTAGAGACCTAAGCTAACCGTGTCAATAACTAAGCTTACAAGGCTCTTTTGGGCTTGATTTATGAGATTTATATTTAGTCTTGATATTTTTCAGTGAAAAACATGTTTTCAAATTGAAGTTAAAGGCTCAAGTAAGACCTCGATCGAGAAAGGTCCTCGAGTCATAGAGGTCAATTGGAACGCTTTGGGAGAATTACAACAGGTGACAGTCACTTGACACTTGAACGAGGCGACCAAGAATTAGTTATGGGTTTTTCAGTTGTTGGAAGTTGTTTTTGGCCCCAGCAACCCCAGAGGCGTCCAAGCAGCAGATCATACAACACACACACACACACACACAGAGAAAAAAGCAATACATTCTTGAAAACTTTAATTTGAAAACCTAAATCTCAAAGAATTGTTCATCGTGGTTTTTGACTCGTTGCTAATCACCATATTAGTTTCAGAGAAAAGAGTTTCTAAAACTCAAAACCAATTGCAGTGATTGCCTTGAGGATTCTGGAGTACTCTACGGGCGAGCTTATAGTTGGTGCTTTCTCTGGAGTATTTGTTCAGCAGCATACCAAGTGTAGTAGTGTGATCCAAAACATCATCTTTGGTCCAGTGCCAAGTAAGTGTGAACGTCATTGGTGCGTCGATCTAGATAAAGACAGAAGTACAAAAATAGCAAATAGCTGGTGCTAATTAGTTTGTAAGTGTTGAAAGTGTTGAGTCTTGTACCTTAATTTCAAATATTAAATTGTTTTAGGCTGGACTAGGTCCCATGATTTTTTTCTGATTTCGAGTTTTCTATGTAAAAACTGGTATTTTAGTGGTTGATTTTTATCCCACATGCGATATTTAGTTGCTTATTCATTCTACTCGTTTGTGAATCACAATTACTTGTAGTGATAGAATTTCAGGTCTCCTAATTATAATTTGTTATTGAAATCGAAAAAGATCTATTCACCGCCTTCACCCTCTAGGACCATCTTGGGTATTTTACACATTGATCCCAAATTTTCAGCACTCATTTTGCATTCTTGGTCCGATTCACATCTCTCTCCACTCTATATTATTTTTCCCTTCTCGCCAAAATCCAAAACATATTCTAGAAAAATTGGTGCAAATCAACTCCTCCCTCTGTGACACGATCATGCAGGTGCATACTAACTGGTGGACTTGGAAGATGAGGACATTGTAAGCGGGAGAGGAAAATCCAAATGAAGCAAGCGATTTTGGTATGGAATCAGCCTATTACACTCTGCAGTATCAGAAATTATTTGGTTGCCATCATTGCATTTAGATAATACTCAGGTTTATCTATGAAAAGATAAAAGAGTCCAAATGCACTTGAACTTCTTACTAAATGAAGATGAGATATATATCAAAGATGCAGTACAAATTTTTTATATAACTCTTAAATGTGGGTGGGGGATGATGTTTTCTTTTAAAATTATTTACAACAATCAAATAACAGAAGGTGAATGGACTAGAACATAAAACTTACCCATTTCTTCATGATGCTCCATAACATGGTGGGATAGACGTTCTCCTATCCTGTCCAGCTGGGCTAATCTAAGAGCAGCCTATAAAAGAATGGAATGCAGATTCATTTGTAAATAATAAATCATAAAGTGGTCTAAGATTTTGAAGATGAAGAACAAACAAACACCTACAAAAAAATCAATCAAACCTAAACCCTTGCACCTCCCACCGGGAGCAGAAAATGAGCCATTCAAATTAAGATGTTCAAAAAGTTTTGAAAAGAAAAAAGGAAAGACAATGTTAGCCATTCAACAGATGTTTGTGAGGAAAAAAAAACCTTAAATGAAAAAAGCAGAAGGCTTGGAATGTGAGATCTATCACAATAAAAACTAAAGATGTCATGATCTCTTAAAAGAACGAACTGATTAAACTGAATTTGGCAAGGACAGTATGTATTTTCCAGCAGGAAAAAATATGAAATACAACACGAACATAAGCACCAGCCAAATCGGTGGGCCAATGTGAGCCTTAACAATATGAATGAGACTGATGTATAATCCAAGCAAAATATCTGATTGCATTTCGCACAGTAGGTGGTATGATTTTACCCATAGCATTTGGATTTTGAAGGAAAAACTATGATTGGTCAAATAATTGACTTTACAAGCATTATACAGCACCAAATCAAATTGATGTATGGGTATTCCTTTACTCATAAAGAACAATGACATCTCCATGAGTTATCAAAGGGGTGCTAGAGAATCAATAGAAAACATAAAACATGCAAACAAGAGCTAGAATTCAATTTTTGTAGGATGGTGATAGAATAAACAGAGTTAGATCACTACCTTTTCCTCGAAATATTCAAGTTCATTTCCTTCAGATGGAATATGCTCCAGAACATGTCTCACGGGATCAAACTCCTACATACAAAAATTCAGCAGCTTTTAGTGATGCAGTTCAAAATTCTAACACAACAAGAAGTTAATAGATACAATTCAGAATGAAGAAGCCAAAAAGAACAAGAAACTTCAGTAATGTGAGTCATAGTGTCCGATGTGCACATGTAGTATACAATAGAGAAAAGAGTTAAAAAATACCCAAGATGGAAAAAACCATTTGTTCAAGCAATAAATTGATACAAGTTTGCAGAACCTATTCCAATGGCATAACATCAGAAGGGACAGCTGAACCCTTTCAGACAGATTTTTTGTCTGAGATCAATGTTGCTACAAACACGGAACGTTTCTGTTCATCGAATGGCAATGAGGTATGCAACATACTCTAAATGTGGCAGCCTAGGCAAGTTTTATATATTTCACATGTAAAAGGAGTTTAAGTAACAAAGAAGTATTTTTTCTATGCTAGGTTTATATGTAATCCATATTCGGTTCATTAGATCCATAAAAGTTACTGGAGCATTCGTCAACCCAAAAGATATAACCAAAAACTCATAGTGCCCATATCTTATGCAAAAAGTTGTCTTTGGTACATCAGTTACTCTCACCCTTAGCTGATGATACCCAGATCTCAAATCAATCTTAGAAAATACTATTACCCCTTGCAATTGATCAAACGAGTCATCGATCCAATGTAAAGAATATTTATTCCGGATTGTTCACTTGTTAAGTTGTCGATGATCAATACATAAACGCAAAGTACCATTTTTATTTTTCACAACCAGAACTGGCTCCCCCATGGAGATACATTGGGATGAAATAAACCCCGATTCAATAAATTTTGTAACTAAACTTTCAACTATTTCATTTCCGCCGGTGCCATATGGTATGGAGTAATAGATATCGGTGTTGTCTTTGGCACTATCTCAATGATGAACTCAACCTCCCTGTTTGGTGGCCATCCATGACACACATCTCGAAACCTCTAGAACCACTAGTAAATCGGATACCTTTATCTCCTCCTTATTGATATCTTTAATACAAGTCAAGTAACCCTAACAACCTTTCCTGAGTAACCTTTGTGCTTTGATTGCAAATATAAGACAGTTAGGAGTCACCTTTCGATCACCATAAAACCTAAATATAACATCGGGGCTATTAGCTTGTATATAGTGTGCTCATGTTGACACTTTTGTCGACTTTTGCTGAGTTGAGATCGTTGGGTGTAGAGTTAGCCTTGACTGAGACCAATGTTTTAATAGCTCAAATCAAGGTGAGAACAGTGTTAGTGGATCGTATTCGGGATGCACAGCTCCAGGATCCTCAGTTATTGACGATGAGGAAGGAAGTTAAAGATGGACTTCGAACTGATTTTGCGATACGAGAAGATGATATGCTATTGTTTGGTACTCGTATGTATAACCAGTGATCTGGAATTAAAGCAGGACATTTTAGAGGAGGCACATAACTCAGCTTATGCTATGCACCCTGGTAGCACTACGCTGTACCGGGATCATTGGGAATACTATTGATGGATTGGAATGAAACGAGAGATTGCTAAATTCATGGCAAAATGTCTACTGTGTTTTGCACATAAAGGTTGAACATCAAGTCTTGCTTTATTACAACCACTCCCTATTCCTGAATGGAATAGGGAGCATATTACGATGGACTTTGTAATAGGCTTTCCTCGTAATCAGAAATGTCATGACTTGATTTAAGTTATCGTGGATCATTTTGACAAAATCAGCCCACTTTGTAGCTGTCAATACTACTTATTCACTTGATAGGTATGCAAAGTTATAGATGTATGATTGCATGGAACTTCAATATCTATTATTGCTGATAATGACCCGAGATTAACTTCTCGGTTTTGGTCGAGCTTACAACAGGCTTTGGGTACTACCTTGACTTTTAGTAAAGCATTTCACCCCCGATGAATGGATAGTCTAAGTGTGTTATTTACACTTTGGAGGATATGTTGTGATCTTATGTATTACAATTCAAAGGTCATTTAGATGACCATTTACCATTGATAGAGTTTTGTTATAACAACAACTATCAAACATGTATTGGTATGGTACCATGCAAGGCTCTTTATGACATACGATGCAGAACACCGGTGTGTTGGAGTGATACGGAGAAAGGAAATTATTGGGTCCTGAATTAGTGCAGATGACAACAAATAAAGTTAAACTAATTCAAGACCAATTTAAAAGTGGCCAAAAGTCGACAGAAAAATTGTCACTTTCAACCTCTAGGTGGAGCCGAAACAAATGGAGTTGCCTCCGCACCTAGTACGCACCTTGCCAATGTATTTTTCTTTAAAACACATTCATGAAATAATTAAATGCATGTCTATGCTTTCATGGTTGTTACTTCATATGATTTACAATGGATTAGAATGCATTCAAAATGATTCGAAGGTCATTTGAGATGACACACCTCATTTTGAGATAGTTCTCGGACTCACGATCACCAATTATCTAATTCCAACACATCCCAAACATATAAACATGTTTCCATCATCTAAACTTCATTTTTAGATTACTTGGATAGCAAGAAAACTAAACGATCACAACTTTCCCATGCAATTAGATTTTATAGTCTTTATAAACATAAATAAGACTCAACCATAAAGGAAAAATGCTATTGAGTTTTGGTCGTCAAACCCATAAGGTGAAATTTCATTTTAACTATGTTTCTAGAGTTTTACACCATAAATCAACTTGACCTATCCATGTTCGTTAGGTAATTTCTCTTAGTACACTTGGTATCCTACAACAAACGAATTTCATTGGAAAGTAGACTACTTAGTCTTTCTAACCATAGGTCACACGCTCAAAATCAAGGTGAGACCGATTTTGGTGGAACAAGTTTGTGATACACATTGTCAAAATTCTCAATTAGTGAAGATTAAAAGTAAAAGATGGCCTCCACACTCATTTTGTGATACAGGGTGATGTATGTTACCATTTGGTACTCGTATATGTGTACATAGTGACCCGGTATTGAAACAAGAGATTCTAGAGGAAGCACGCAACTCGGCTTATGCCATGCATCCTGATATCACTAAGCTATATCGGGATATGCAAGAATGTTATTGGTGGATTGGAATGAAATGAGAAATTGTTGAATTTGGGGCAAAGTGTCTGGTGTGTCAGCAGGTAGGTATTAACGTGAGTTTTCTTTGAATACTAAATGGCTGATAATCCATAACACAAATTATCATGCGCTAACACTTCATTTACTTGTGAACATTGTCAAATTGGGTAAAATTTTTGGACCACAATATATAGATTTCAGGAGTGGAAGTGTACCATGTTTCAGAACGTTCATTGCAATTCAGTATTTGTTAAGGCATTAACGTATTCTGGTAACTGTCTGCCTCAACTACATGAATTGAAAATGGTCAATCGCAATTGTTATAGGTTGTCTTAGAATGAATGACAAAGTTTGATGTTCAGATCTGAAGAAATCTTGTATCCTGATAGCTTCGTGTGAAGGGGTAAGATTTTCCCTAATTCGGTTGCATGTGCTAAAAGGGTGGAGGAAACTGTTGACCATGGCTTGGTATATTGAGGGGCTCTTGATCGTTCATCTATCCTTATATATGGTCAATTGAGTCCACCAAGCTTGATCATTGAAGCAGTGGGGCAGCTAAAGTATGGGAGTTGTTGGAGGTAGGAATATGAGATCATTTGAGAGTGGAGTTGCCTGCCATACTTCAGATAACTGCCTTTCAGCCTTTGATATCCTCACTCTGTTAACTCACAGGTTCTCATCATCTTTCTTTGATGCTTTTGTTGGTTACTCGGGTGATCATGAGTTGTAGGCTGGCAGTTTCGCCTTGTTACATTTGGTTGCCTTGTTCTTTTGCACTCTTATGCTCCCTATGTGTAGCTGGGCTGCACTCCACCTGGCATTAATATTTAAAGTTTTCTTCTCAAAATGTACATCCCATTTGGAAAAGATGTAAATAGCCAAAAAAGGCTGGAGGTTTTTATGAATCCCTCACTTGTGTATCATCCATCCATCATCACTTAAAAATGATAAGAATACATTCTAGTGTGAGTTTCATACCACAAAAATTCTTGTTTGTCTCTTGGTTTAACTATTCACTAGTATAGCAATTTGGTGCCTTCTGCCATGATTTTGATTCTAACATCCATCAAAAGCCTCCTCAATTGAACAGAAACCAGCATTCAGACGTGATATTTGATCTCTACAATGCATACCAATGAGGCATAACAACAATAATGAGAACCAACTCAAGAAAACCTTGTCAAAACTATTTGGATCGGCTATATGAGAAATATTTCATCATTCACTCAACTTGAAGTCATAACCTCACTTAAAGCAACCTTTCCTTTTTCCGGAAATTACTATCATGCCTTTCTTCAAGACTTGACCCATGTTTACTCAGAGATTCAGACATGATGGGAAGAATTAACATCACAACATACATCCATTCATTGGCGGTTTATAACCTTACAGTTGAGAAGTAACAGGAAAATCAACATATTCTTATCATCTTCACACATACTACGATGAAGCAAGGGTCAGTTCAAAAGCATTAACAAATACCCTTCTGCAGTACAAAACTCGTCAACTAATGAGCCGACAAAAAAAGGAAAAGAAAGAAGCCAAAGAAAAAAGTATAAACAAAAACGATAAAAGCATCCAGATAAAAGCTATTACAAACCATAGATATATGTTCTTGCAAAATTAGTCTCGCTGAAATGATTAAGAATGCACAAAGAATGAGGTGCTATCTACAACTTTTTGAACCAATCAACTATAGCAGTATCTTCCCTGGTCATATGTAGTTATTTCAACCACAAGTTTCCACACAATCAACTATTCTGCAGCAGAAGTAAATTAAGTGCAGAACAAAATATAGAGAAGAAAATTTGAAGTATATTTCTAAACAAGCATATCTCATGAACTGATGCCCCAAATCAAAGTTCACACCAACTCATGACTAACTACACTCTTTCCGAGTTGGGAATACTTTACCAGCAAATTCTAATGACTAGATTAATTACAAAATAATGTGTGTATCAACAAACTAAAAGACAGAACCGCAAATAAGCATGCCACCACAATGAATTCAATGAGCAAAAACAAGCAAGTGAAACCTCTTCATAGAATTCTTCCTCGAGCTCCTCCACAACTGGGCCATGGGGCCTGCTTCCATATATTGAACTCAGTTCTTCAGAGCTTGATGAGAGACTATACCTCTGATGGGGAGGGAGCCCAGCAAGAGCACGTGCAACTGCAGCTGCCGCTGCAGCTCGGGCTGGAACCTGCAAGAGTTACAAGCAAGAAAAAAAAATTTAACTTATTTGACTAAAATTGTCAAAACACGCATGCATTGTGCATTATACTATGTGTGTAGAATGTACTCTGTACATCAATATAGATATTGGTAACCAATTCAAACTATACATCAATATAGATATTGGTAACCAATTCAAACTATCAACTTACAATTAACTAATATGAATCAAAACTCACTTCTCAATTTCTCTTCACTCACCAAAATTAAATTTAAAGCCAAAACACTAAATTGAACTCAACTATCAATATGTATAATACAATCATGTGTTACATAGTCTTCTATTGGCGGTATATCAACTAAAATCAAAATATCAGTATCAACCTATGTATGTACAATTAGCACATATGCATATGTTGAGTGCATTTTGCAGGGGCATATTTAGCTTGGGACAATCAATAGCACATACAACATGTACATTATAGATACAGACCACCCAAGTAAACATCAAACAAATTTCCCAGTGAATGACAAATCTTTTTTTTTTAATATGTACGCATACTCATACATCTCATCGCATTGATTACCTCAAAGTGGGCAAAATATCAGCCTAAACCCAATACTCCAGATACTAGTTCACTAACCCAAACTAAATTCCTCCTATAGTACAACACTAAACCAGAATATTATGCATATAAGTGAGTTCATTATAAGACGTTTATGTTAGAAAAACATCTATAGACTGCACATGATGTGGAGTAATTACATCGGGGCGATCGGAAGTAGAAGGAAGGAGGCCCAGAGATCTGGCGGAGCGAACAGAGCTGAGAATTTTCTCCCCAACTTTCGAAAAATCCATACCACCTCCTCCTCCTCCGAAGAACAGCAACGAACCTAAGAACAAAACCCTAGAAACCTCGAACCCACCTTCGCTCAAATCTCCATTGAATGCTGCGAATGGACTCAAAGCAAATGGCTCTGAATTCGACTGCATTTCAATTCGGAGCTCCAAATTGAAGATATCGAGAAAATCCCATTTGAGGGAACTGGAGTTTTGGGATTTTTGTAGAGATCTGATCGGAGTAGTGGGTTTGATGCGAGAGACTGGTGAAATCAGATGACCTATTGGGGTGGAGAGAGAGGGAGAGAGAATTTTGTTGGAAATTCGTTGATTACACTGAGTGCTTGAGAAAATGGCACTTTGTACCTACAAATATTTTGAATTTCTAACTGTACCCCTAGTAAATTAAAACCCTCAACTTATGCCCTCAACCTTTTAAATGTGTCGCAATGTGATCCGATTAGCAATAGTATCTCGTTTTGTGTCTGGCAGACTAATGTTTCTTAAATCAATATCTCCTAATTCTCTCTTATTTCTCATCTATGCACTTCTTTTTCCATGCGAGTCCTTACTTCTTTTTTCCCAAAAACCCCATTCCTCTACACCCGTGGATCAACCCTACACAACACTACTATCACCTCATTCATCAATTGAATCACCACCATGACTACCCACGTGTAAACCCACCTGACCACCAGTATCAATCTAAACCACCACAACTATGAACCCCCACCCATAATCTCCCACGTTTATATTCACTTAGCTATTAACCACCAACATTATATTCACTTAGCTTTTAACCACCAACACCCACCTCAACTCAAAACCACAATGAACCCATGAACACTCACCGTAATTTTTCACACACACACACACCTTATAATTACGTACATTTGAATCGACCACCCATAGCCACCATTCCTCTAAACCATCGACACTCACATCTAACTCAAACAATCGTCCCTACCACAACACACTTCTCAACTTGACACATGGCACGTAATATGTAACCTCAAACCTAAGCACATATACCCAGTTATAGAGACTATGAGTAATAACATGTGTAGCAAATGATAGCTACACAAATCTCATGTGCATTGTCCACTCAAACCAATATTCTTGATCAGAGGAAATAATTAATAGATTGAGATTGACAAATTTAGAGATCGAAGAAAAGTTGATATCAATTAGGTTGGGTGGTGCATTTGGTGATTGAGGAAGTGATGGTTGGACATGCAAAAGATGAGGGCGAAACAAATTGTTCAAAGTTGTGGCACACAAATGTGGGGGAGAAAAAAATGATAACAGGAGAAATGTCTATATATATATATATATATAATAAAATAGAACGAAATTTGAATTCTTGAGATAAAGAGTGGTCCAGATCGTTTTGAGACAAAACATAAATACATCCAACGGACAACGTAATCCCAACATAAAAGACGATTCAGATTATCTCAAAAATTTTGATCTAACAATCTACAATAAGTACTAAATTTTATTTTCCCGCCCAACTCAAGTCTCTCTCTCATGCAATCCCAAGTCAGACATCCCAAATTAAATTTTTCAACCCAATCCAACTCTTAAATTAAGGGATCTCTCAGTACCCAACTCTGCTCCCCCCCCCCTCCCTCACCAGTGATATCTTTCCTAACCCAATCTAATCTGGCGATTAAGTGATCTCTAACTCTCCAACTCTGCCTCTCTTTCCCTCATCTGTTATCCAATGGACATAATTCCAAATCTCATGTTTCACACCAAATCTTTTTCCACAGCTGTATATACACAAACCTCCAAACATTGTTTCCACCCTCTCTCTGCCTCTCCAAACTTTATTTCCCCTCTCTATATGTCTTTCTCTTCTAGAGACTGTAGACGGCAATGTGCCAGCAACCATCGCCCAGTTCACCAAAAATTTGAATGTGCCAGCGACCACTGTCATTCCCAGGTAACTTTTCATCTCTTTGTCCTCTTCTTCACCCCTCTCTCATTCGCACAAACCCATTTCGCTCTCACTCTCTCTCTCTCTCTCATTTCCCTTTGTACCCCTCTGCAACACAGACACAACCGACACACCCACAGCACATACACTTGCACACACCCACATCAATTGTTGTTTTAAGTTTATTCAATTTTGGGATTCATTTTGTACGTATGTTGCCTGTTTGATTTTTTGCTTAACAATAAATATACCTGTGTTTGTGTCTAAAATTTTGACATTCCAATGCGAATTGAGGTTCGGTATATGCTTTATTTGATAAAAATTGAAGTGAGTGAAACAAATAGACCACTATGAGTGTTGGTCTTGGTCATTGGAAAACTTGGTTTTATGTGTTAAGTTCTAAAGGAATTTAAATATGAGAACATAATTTTGCCATCATGTCGTTCTTTGTAATGAAGCGACAATGGGTGAAGCGTGAGACTTGCTTCTTTTTGGGCGAAAATCCAATAAAGGTAATGATTTGATGATCCATTACATTCTTATTTGGTGATACAACTTTTATATGATTAATACATTTTTTAGTATGTACATAGGTCCATGTATGATGTATGTACACAGGTTACTGGGTATAAAGAGAGAGAGAAGAGAGATTTTAATTTTCTCTTACTTCTTTAAGATGATTCATAATGAAAGTTCCCCATTGACTGTTGAGGATAAGTGGGATTGGATCTAAAAACTGAAAGTTCCCCAGAAACTAAAGCTTTTTTATGGAGTGTTAAACATGATAAAATCTCATCCAATTACCTCAGAACTGTCAGACACTTGACCAATAACTCCTATCTCCCTTGCTGCTTCTTTCCCTCCGCTGCTCATCCACAAGCATCATCCCACACAAGTACACACTGCTTATCTCTATCTCTGTCTCTGTCTCTCTTTGCTTCTATATCGAAGGTCTTCAACACAACGCTTGGAAGGTGTGCGACCAATTGCCAAAGAGGTAACCAAATGCCCCCAACTTTTGTGCACCACAACTCTCTGCGCACACAAACACACTCCTAGTCGCTGCCCTCTCTCTTGCTGCATCTTCTCTTTCTCGCTGTTATTGTCGGAACTTCCCCACAACCATAACTTTCAGGGCACTTTATAATGCTATTTTTTTCTCAGCACTCTTTTTTATTCTATTTTTTCTCAGGCTCTTTATAATGCTATTGGATTTAATTTAGAATTTTTCTCTTTGGTCTTCAGGGTTTGGATGGCACTCAATATGACTACATTTTGTTGTGTGCTTTTTAGTAGGTTAAGTGCAATAACAGGTAATTGGTTTTTGTTGTAGAGAGAAAAATTTAGGCATCCATTTGGAAATGTGATTTGGTGTATGAGCAATGGGATATCTTATATAGTTTATAACTCAATGCAGGTGTGGTGGTCAGATGGGGAATGTTTTGCAATTTTGATGGAAACTAAAAGTAGCCTGTATTTTCTCTCCTCTTTTTTTTTTCTTTATTATATAGGGGTTAGTCTTTTTATTTATATTATGTTTCAAAATCAATTTGATTGTGTGTTTGAAAAAAGTGCATTTTGGACATTTTGTCCTCACTGTTGCTATTTGTATGAGTATGAGAAGGTTTATGAGGGGTGTTGTTTGATGTGTCAGAATGATCAGTGCTGGAAAGGGTTTCATGCTATGGCGCTTCCGTCGCCGCCACCAATGGGGGTGGTGGAGATGGGTCAATATCCGTGTTTTGGGTCAATATCCGGATTTGAAGGGGATAAAGGAAAAGGGTTGTTGTCGTGGATGCCTTTTTCTCCTTTTGTTGCTCAAGTGGAAATAAAGGAAGAGAAGAAGAACGATGTTCATAAGGATGATAATGTGTGGGAAAGAGATAGTTTTATAGAAAATTTTGATGATAGTGACGATTTTTATGATGAAAATGGAAGTAAAAATGAGGTGACACTGGAGAATTTCAATGCAAAGAAAGTGAAAATAGAGGAGAAAAATGAAGAAAGGGAGTGCGAACAATAATGGGTTGGAGAGAAGTGTTGAATCAGATGCTCATAACACCGGGAAGATGGCAATGAAGAGCAAAAAGCCAGTGGCAGAGAGAAAGAAGTTGTTGATGGGTAACGAGACAAAAAATTAGATAAATAAGGGTTATCCTTATGGTGGTGAAGAATTGGGCTTGAAGGTGGAAGCCAGTGAAGATAATGAGCATTTTGATTCTTGGTTTGGTGCAAGAATGGGAATAGGAAATGGTGGAAATGACTTTGTCACGGGTTAAGTGGAGTTTTTTTAGGGAGCTGATGATATCTATGTGGGTCTACAGGAGATTTCTGATGCTTCTTATGCTTGATGGCAAATTAGTTAAGGGATAAGGGGTATACACGTATACGATCTTTCTTGACTTAAAGTTATAATAAATCAACAAGTGGTATGTGTATGTGTGTGTGAATCGCTAATGGAAGTTTGCTAATTTGTTAATTTTTCAGATGAGAGGTTCTTTGACATTATTGGGCAATCGATGCTAAATGGCGTCAGAAGTTCTGAAGCAAAACTTGGTGGTACTACATCTTTGAGGTGAACAGGATAGTCATGGAATTGTACATTCATGGGGCATACTCCCTTTTTCGTTGAAACTGGTAGAATTCAATTTAGTGTGGATTAATTATGATTTTTTTTTAATAGTTATGAGGTATGGTCCTAACAAGTTCAATAGTGTAATTTTTTTATATAATATGAAATTTAATTATCGTAGCAAACTTAATTTATTTGAAATTCTAGCTGAGTTTAAATTATCATTATCTTTTCTTTTAAAGGTTTTAAGACTTTTGTCATTTGATATTTAAAGGTCAATGATACCAAATATCTTATTTTGTAACTTCTTAGTTTATTTAAATTTTACTTTGTAGGGTCCATATTCAATTGCGATTGTTGAAATTTTGTGTAATACATTTTTTTCGAACATGGATACATGTTTGCAATTTTTTTATGAGTTACATAGTGTCTTCAGGCTCGGGCAATTACTAGTATATATATATATTTGCACACACAAAATGAATAATCTATAAAATGAAATAACATTTCTATACTTCACTCGCCTTCTACAACTTCACATGAACTGTTCTAGGGATTCCATTAGAAATTAGATGGTATATATCATTTGGGTCACATTGTAACACATTATTAAAACTAAGGGTATGATATAGCACTTCTAAATATTATGGCTAAGGGTATGATATAACACTTTTATATGTTATGACTAACAAAGTAAAAGGTTTAAAATATTTTAAGGCATAAAGTGTCATTTGACCTTAATTGCCAAGATTTTTCAACACTTAAAAAAATACATTGACTTTTTTCCCTTCGAAATGGTTGCATGAATCCCAAAGGCAGGACTACTCCCCTCTTAAATTTCTTTTTCCATCCGATTTAATTATTTTACTTTAAATTATTAACTTCATTCTATTTATATTTACTTTATTAGTTACTAAACCCACCATATCTATATTTACTAATTAAAAATTAAATTCATTCAATTTTATTTCAACCTAGACAATGATTAAAATTTTATTTTAGTATATTATTTTGGTATAAAAATATTTCAGATATAAAATAAAATTAATAAAAAATTTTAAAATATTTGTCAAAATATATAAAAAAATCTTAAAACACCTTGAAATATTTCAAAGACATTGGTTAAAATATATCAAAATATTTTGAAATTATATAGATCACATTGGAATATTAAAATTTTATTTCAATTATTATTTTTATTTCAGTTTCTTGAACATATATTTAATAATTTAATTGAATGTGTATAAATAGGGTGAACTTAATAATTAATGTTTGAATATTGTTGGAGTTTGACCCAAACTCTCTAAGTGTTTTATTGCTTATTTATTTGGTATTAGTTTTAATGGGTTTAAGAGTTTTGACCCATAAAGTATTTTAGTTAATTTTGAGTAGTTTAATTAAAGTTATAATAGGTTGGATGTTATTAGTTTTTTAATAGGTTTTGATCTCTGTAAGTCTTCTTACATATGTAATCAATGATCTATGGCAAACTAGTTGGGGTTTTAATTCATTAAAAAATAAAATGTTTGGGCAGTAATCTTATTAGAGCATTATTCTTCCTTGATATTTTTCTTGATTAATTATTTTGTGTGTGAAATTATTTTTGTGGTGCTTCATATTATTTTGAAATCCTACATCTAGTATCAGAGCCAATTTTAGAGATGGCAAACAGGAACAAGTTTTTTCAATGTCCTGTTGGAAAATTTGATGGGACGTCAAATTTTTAAAATTGGAAAACACAAATAGAGTTATTTTTCAAGGTCATGGATTTTTCAGATATTATCACAGGCGGGTTCACATATCCTGGAGATCTACCAACTCACACAAAAGTCTAAAAGGATGAATTGGTAATTAATCGAAAGAAAGACTGCAGAGCATTGATATATATCTATGGAACAATTGATTCATCAATTTATGATAAGATTGCTCATGTTTCGACGACAAAGGCGACATGATATGTCTTGATCAATTGTTATATTGAACAAGATAAGGTGAAAAAGGTTCAGTTGCAGACCCTTCGCAAACAGTTTGAGATTCTTTAGATGAAAAAATCAAAGAGTATATTTGATTATTTTTCGCAGATGTTGGTCATTGTCAATCAAATGAGAGTCAACGGCGAGGATGTGAAGGATCTCTAGGTTATGGAGGAAATTCTTTCGGACCTTCTCAATGAGATTCTAATATATTGTCATAATTATCATGGAGTCAAAGGATCTTAATTCCCAAACAATTGATGAGTTGATGGGTTCCTTGCAAGCCCATGAACAAAGATTGAATGAATAGACTGAGATTTTAGGAGAAGAAGACTTGTAGACTCATACCAATTTCAAGAAGGAGAAGGATGAGTCTCATAAATCCCAATCAAATTAGAGGTATCAACATTCAAATGATCAAGGTATGTAGCAAAAATACAAAGGTAATAATTAGGGTGAACAACGTGATAAATCCAAAATCAAGTGTCATAATTGTGGAAAATTAGGACAGTAGAAAAGAGAGTGATTCAAATTAAAGAGACCTGATAATAAGAATTATTATGCTAAAATTGCAGAAGACAATAATGATAATTCAAAAGTTTTGTTTTTGGCTAATAATGCAGTAGATGATGTTCGAAAAATCAAGTGATATTTGGATTCAAGTTGCAGTAATCACATGTGTGGTTGCAGGGAGATGTTCACTGTATTGGATAAATATGTTCAATCAAATATTAAATTTAAGAATGCTTCAACCATCCCCATAAAGGGAAAAGGTAAAATTTCTATAAAATTAAACGATGGGTCTTTAAATACTATTTCAGAGGTTTATTATGTTCCTGGTCTTAGCCACAATTTATTGAGTATGAGACTGTTGTCAGAAAAGGGGTATGATATAAAGATTTTTAATGGTGTTTTATACAATCAATGACAACCGCAAGGGACTAATATGACACTCAATCGTTTGTTCCCTTTATAAATTAATTATCATAATTTACCTTGCTTTAATTATAAAGTTTATGGGGATAATTGGTTATAGCATATGCGGTTTGGACATATAAATTTTCATAGTTTAAATTTTATTGCCCGAAAAAAATTAGTTTTAAGTTTGCCTGTTATTAGTATTCATAGTCAAGTTTGTGAAATTTGTGTTTTGGGGAAAAAACATAGGGACCCTTTTTCCAATAAACAAGCTTGACACACAAAAAGACCCATTGATTTGATTCACTCTAATTTGTGTTCTGTTGGAGTTCCTTCCAATGGTGGGAGTATGTATTTTATAAACTTTATTGATGAATATGTATTTTATAAACTTTATTGATGATTTTAACAAAAAAACCTAGGTGTATATTTTGAAAAATAAATTTGATACTTATGATACATTTAAATATTTTAAGGCTTATGTTGAAAGGCAAAGTGGGAGAAAATTTAAAGTTTTGAGGACTAACAGAGGTCATGAATATATGGTTTGTGACGATTTTTTTAAAAATTATGGTATTAAGCATCAATTGACAACCAGGTATACTCCCTAACAGAATGGTATGACAATGAAAAAAAATAAAATTATTATGGATATGGTTAAATGAATGTTGAAATCTAAAAATATGCATAAAATTTTTTGGGTAGAAGCTGTTGCTTGTGCAGTTTATGTTTTGAACAGGTCCCTTACCAGAAGTTCTACAAGAAAAACTCCCTACACTACAAGAAAAAGGGTTTTTTGCATTAGTAATTTGTTGACTCAAAAGATCACATTATCGTTGCAAATAGTATTTTGCGATGGCAGCGTGATCTTTTGAGTCGGCAAATTGGGGGTGGCAAGCAATAAGCGATGCAAAAGATTTTGCATCGGCAATTAACAGTCATAAACGTGTTTGCATCGGCAAAATCCGATGCAAATGCGTTGTCGCAAAAAAATCTTAGATCCGACATTTTTTATTTGCATTAGCAATTTTCCATCGCAAAAGACCCATTTGCGATGGTTTAAATCCGTCGCAAAAGGTATTATTAGCCATAGTTGGAGACCATCGCAAAAAATCTCGTTTACAATGGTTAAAATCCGTCGCAAAATATATTATTAGCCACAGTAGGGGACCGTCGCAACAAACTCATTTACAATGGTTTTAATCTGTCGCAAAAGATATTATTAGTCATAGTACGACAAACTTTCAACAAACCCATTAATGATGATTTTTAACCGTCGAAAAAGATATTATTTGCCACTGCAAAAAGTCGACGCAAAAAAAATTATATTACTTTTTTGACGTTATTTGCATCAGCAACATACTTTCATAAACAATTTTTTTTTTATAAAACTTAATTATCTCTTTCACATTTTTCTCTACATCTATTTACATATCTAATACATTACCCATAACATCATTTGATTAAAATAATAAGACACATCTCTCAAAAAAATAGCATCTAAATTTAAAAATAAAAATATATTTAGCATAAGTAAATAACATCCGAAATTTTAAAAACAAAATATTTCAAACTACATAATGAAAGTGTCAATGCATAATAAACAATTTTAGTCTCCCAATGCACCATTTTCTCTTTAATCATGCACAATGTGTACTCTCTACCCATGCGTCATCTACTATCTGCGCTAGCAACTTATTTGATAGCACCTGCAAAAGATACGATTTGTGTTATTATTGTCAATAATATGTTTGGTTGTTAATTATATACATATTAATCAAGATAAAACATACATCACTAGATGACCAAGCAACAATTTTCCCACCTGCACGAACAATAAATCGTCGCATCTTCTGCTTGATTGGTGCATGCAAACTTGAGAAATTCCTCAACCCCTCTAAAGTATGCACTTGAAAGCCTTTCTGTTGAATCAATCTAACT